GTTGCATTGTGTACTCCAAATTGGGAAAAATTGGGATTTCATTTTTTGGTAGTTTTTTTACCTCTGTTAATGGCAGGCATAATTCAGCCTGAAAGCCGGAAGTATATTAAACGGTTATAATAAAAATTATTAGGGAATATATGTAGGTATGTTAATGTTAGGTCAAATATCGCTGCGCTATAGTGTGCTACCAGCTCCTTTATTAGACGTCCTAGAGATTTCATACCATGGACTATAAGAGACGTTATGGAGAATAATCACAATATCACTGATTATGAAAGAAACAAAGCACATGTAAAAAGGTTCCTTACTCAGTCAAAGATTAGTAAAATAATATACTGTGAATTTTTCAGAACCTAGAAAAGAATTCAAAATACATAGAAGGATGGAATAAAGATCTAAATTTGTCACTCAATCAAAATGATTGGAAGAAGATAAATAAACTTAACAAACTGAGTAACTATGAACCAAAGTTATCATCCTTCACTTACAAAGTCCTTCATAGATTTTTAGCAACTAATACATACTTAAAAATGTGTGGACTCATAGAGTTAAACATTTGCACTTTTTGTAAAGCAAATCCTGAAACGATTTGCCATCTTCTGTATGAATGTTCTATTATAAGTGCTTTATTAAATGGCATTGAAAATGGCTCCCTTTAGAGCTCACAGTGCTATGTACTAAACAAAATGTATTGATAGGACCTGAGAGTATAAATGAAAAAACAATCATCCTAAATAATATACTATGTATTTTTAAAAGGTATGTTTATTTGTGCAAATATTCTATGCTAAAACCAACACTCAAAGGTTTTATAAGTAAAGTGAAGGAATATTTTAGTATGGACAAACGATGATTTTTTCCTTTAAATAAAAAAATGCCAATGGTATAAAATTTCTTAAGATTAAGATTTAACCAATACTGTATTGTAAAATTGTAAAATGTATGTTTACCGTGTGAATGTATTGTAATTGTTTTTTTTGCAATATCTTTAACATGTTTTTTATTTGACACTAATCTTTTAATCAATTTTTTATTTTTTTTGCCCAAAAAATCGTCAAATTGATCTGGTAAATTTTTCTTTAAAATATGAAAGTACGCCTGTGCGTACTTGGCGTACATGTTGCTATTTCTAGAGGGGGGGGGGGCTATAATGCTATGTAGCCTCGGCCCCTCACAATCTATGTAAATAATTATGTTGAATTATATAGAAATGAATAACAATAACCTGTAAAAAATGTAGCTATGTCACCCCAGTGGTTATCATTTAAAATTAAACTTGTACAGGGTGTCCGGAAAATAAAGATACAAATGCTCTAATTTCATTAGATTTATCTGTTGTGAGATGAAATTACAGATTGTAGAAGGACATTGTAACAATTTATCCTGCAACTGTCATGACAAATTGTTTCAAAATAAAAAGGTTGTGGTTGTTATGGTAACAGGAGTCGCTGGTATGTGGAGCAGCGTCAGAATTGTTTTATAATTATTTTCTCCTATTCATATCGCCTGTTGCTATTATGCATCAAATGTATTACAACAGCAAAAGGATTAGTACAGTAAGATTGTTTAATCATTTGACATTACTACTGTAATCCAGTATTATGTATTTTCAACCTTAATCTAAACATTCTGGGTGCATTTTGACCGGAGATTCAAAACCTTTGCTGTCAGTCTCTAAGATTGCTGATAACATTGGCTTCCAGCCGAGTCTCATTTTTATGTTGAACTTCTCACAAATTGCTTCAACATATTCATTAATGTAGAAGTCCAACGGGACATTATCAGGGAAATATGGGCCATTGTACAAAAAGGTTAATGCCAAGACATTCAATTGTAACATTTGTTTTCCTTGCTTTGTGCGTTGGAGTATTGACTTAGGAGGTGCACTATTGACTTTCCTATTAATCCAGGGACCCTCTTCTAAGCACTTATATACTATTTTTCTTTGATTATATACTTGTGATATTACATAGTTCTGATATGTATCAATGATATCGTTATACTAAAGAGAATACTATGGCAGCAAGAATACAATATTGAACAAAACAAAAAAACTGATAAGAAATACAATAACAAACACTATTTCAAATGGTTATATTTTTGCAATTTATCACAATTTATCGATATTCTGGAACTGCTCCGAATACCCCTCACCACCGTAACCATGACAACCGTAACTTTAATACAGTTTAGACTATATGTTATAAAAGTTGGTGGATGTATTGTAATGTAGTTCCTCTACAATGTTTAGCGATTTCATTACAAAAAACTAAATCTCTTAAAATTAGAGTATTTGTATCTTTACTTTCCGGACACCCTGTAACATATTTTATTTCATCTTAAACCCGAAAAGGGGTATAAATTCAAGTCTCAATTCTAAAACAACCTATAAAGTGTTAACCATGAGAAGTTAGGTACAGCTCCCTATGTGGCCTAGTTATTCATTCTGGCTTTTACATTGACGACGTGTCCTAAATTCCAGGGATAGATAATCAGTCAAGGTAAAAGCCATTTATCTCTTAATCTTAATCCCCCACAGCAAACAACTTCAGATATATCACAAGTCTCTCCCGATTTCATGCTTATTTCTTGCTTTTCCCATTTATACATCTTGTGTCATTTTAACACCATTCAAGTAGCCAGTGTTTTAAATCATTTACAGTAAAACCTAATATAGTGAACACCCCTGGAGCCATAAAAAGTGTTCACTGTGGGTAGGTGTTCACTACAGAGGGGATTTTAAACAGGCGTCAATGTAAAATGTGTCTTGAAATGGTGTTCATGAAACACAGATGTTCACTAGAGAGAGAGAGAGGTGTTCACTAAGAAAGGTTTTACCGTATTATTTCTATGTTCAAATGGCATGAAAGTCTACATATTCGAGGTGTCAGTGAAACGGGTGCCAGGTTCTTTTCCACGTGTATGAACTGCTGATCCTTTTGGCCTAGTTTACAAGTTCAAGTAAATAATCTCAATGGTCATTTTATCCCATAATAGCAGGCCATCCCTACCCACTGTTCTTGTTTACACTTTGGAAAATTGAACCCAATTAAGGTCAGGTCACTGTGACCTTTCAATTTGTTACTTTTTAGCTCCACGTTTAAATGCATACATTTCATTTCACAACCAAAAATAATTTCACATTAAAGTTACATTATTTTCTGTTTATTCTCATTATGTCGGTCAATGACATTTCTGCACTCAATGTGTGTACTTGCACTTTTAAAATAGGGCAGTATCCGTAAAAACCAATACAAGTATATTGGTATTTAATCCGAGTGGTTAATTTTCCGAATGGTCAAATTTTATCATTTTCCTAATTTTATGTTTCCCGATGACGAGAAACTTCTCATTGGATAACATTATGAAGATAATTTTTCCAGCGTCTGATTATCCGAATCCGAAAAATTAGGCAAGAGGCAAGTATTTTTACAGGTCTTGTAGACCATTGTTGTGCACGTTGGTGGCCTTGCGCATTTTTAATAGATCTTATAGCGTATTGGTTCATAAAAATCCTAAAATATAAATTCATATACGTTTCTATTGTAAGCGACGTGTCAATTTACATAATGGACCATGTTTCATCGAAAACAATATGAAGCCATTGTACGTTTTAGATTATCAATTCTAAAGTTATCTCAATTTTGAGGAAACGTTCAAATGTAAAGTGTTACGTCTTACAACGTATTTGACGACGTCGTGGTATATTTATCTTTGAAAATATGATAAATTTCATTATCTCTTTCCAGAAAAATGATCGTATCACCGAGAAACATATAAAAATACCCCAAATTTGTGTATAAGGCACATCTGAAGTTTGAAAACTCTTTCTAAAACTTCTTTGAAGTCGAAGTCATTTCATTTCTTAGTGAGAGTTTTCATAATATAATAATTAACTAAAAATGGATCATTACTTGAGTTTAAACATGTCACGTGATAAATAAAGTGTATTATAAATAAACTCACCGCTGGTCTCCCATATTTTATTTTAATAGGGTCGTCTTTTCCTAACTCGATTCCGCTGGATTTTGGCCTCTCACTTCGTATGAATAACAACTTTGTTTAATAATTTGTCATTAGACAGGACAAACACAACTGAGAAGCAATCTGAATGTTTATATCTAGTGAATTGTAAAAACACCCTAGTGCGAATTTTTATAGCTTATTTACAGGGTATTTGGGATAAAAAATGTGACCTGCCATACCAGGTCAACTGAGGGTGTCAGCTCTGGGTATCTTTTCAATGAGGATCTTTAATGCGAAAAATGATAAACAAACGTTGAATTAACTGTATACAACCTTCACAGTATGTATATAAACTCACTGGTCAGTATCAATATGCCACAGTTCAGATCATAGGCTAAGGGCGATAGAAATCATTTTTAAATAAAGATGGCATGGTAATAGAGAAAAAGATAATACTGGATTCTGTTGGCGCTGCCATCTCTATATCGGCCCAGGTACGATTTTGTTTTATGACCGTAGACAATACATTTCCAGTTACATTTCCTTAAGTGATGGAAGGTATCATTGAACTACGAATGGTATATGAACAATTGAATATATTCTTGAGTTTTTATAGTCTGGTTTAATTAAAACATCAAAGCATTATCTCAACTAGAAAGGAATTTAATTCGATCAAAGTCTCGATGAAAACTAAAAGTATCGCTTCCCGTCCGCTATCTTAAATGCGAAGGTAACGGCTGTAATGGCTGGGTCACATTTGCTGCGATTCATATGAGGGAAAGAGTTGTATTTAGGTCATATAAATCAATGGAGAGTAGGACCATAATCTGCTAGGACCTCCTTCCCTTTTACACCGGAATCGTATTTCTCACTTCAAAATTTGAATCGCAAGTTTTGGTCTTATTACCAAACAAAAAATTCAAAACACACAAAAAATGATTAAGATCATCAGTGCCTAAATTTATAATCATTAGTTTAAATATTTCGAATGTTGATTGTGAATTTATAGCCAGGTAAGTGGGCGCAATTAACTAGAAGCCATCTGTCAGTCCATCTTTCCTGAAGTCCGAGTATGCGTGAATCGGGTGCGTTCCATTCTTGGTGTTATGTATCGCTTGACATGCCCCAGACGCGGTGTCTTGTATTGTTATAGTATGCCCCTTCTTAATAAGACCATCAATATATTTCTGAAATAATAAATTATATATAAATCAAGGATAAATGACATCTTTCATAAAATTTTCACTGAGGAGGATCATCCGGAAACGAAAAAATGATGTCTTCGTTTCAGCACGGTCGAAATTCCGGCAGAAAAATTTGATTTGATAAAAAATTTGTTTTCTCGACTTCGTAACATTTATCCATCAAATTTTAACTTGATGTTTGGTCTGTATGTGGTGCGTAGGTTCTCAGAGCAGGGGAAATATTTTCGAATACACCCCTTAGGGCTAGGCACAAACGCTTTCAAACCTCTCACTCCATTCGGTCGTTTGGGGTACGGAGAATGTTTGTGCCAGCCCTGCGGAGTGTATTCGAAAATATTTCCCCTGCTCTGAGGTCTATATTTCTTAAATAATGAATTTGCTTTAATTGAGTTGACTCTCTCCATTGACTCTGTCCGAAAAGTCTTGCCATAGAGCGAATGAACATTTGTAAATTAATCAAAAATGCACGCACTCAACGTTTGCTGATGGCTTTTCAAGACTATCGCACCTCACCTTAGGAAATGATTTCTCTATGAATATACTTTTATCTCGATGCATAACGATTATTCGTGGATATTCCACAGCTTTTTGTATTGATTGGCCAAGCCAAAGGTTCCTAACGACAGTCTGAAATGAAAATATCACAGAATAAAGATGTCCATAAAAATTCTGCTGAAATCATAGTCCCTATATTTAAATTGATATTGTTATTTGACACACTGGATTTGAAACTCATCTAATTAATATTCTCTCAGTGGCTTACGTTCACAACAGCCGCTGTTAGCTTTCCTCCCCCTGACGCACCGATCACGTGACTAACGACGCCCTCACTGTCAACAACAATTGTTGGACTCATCATCGTCATTGGTCGTTTCCCTGGTATTAAAGCTGACGCAGGTTCACAAGGTTCCCCTCCCATGGACTTTGCACCAGGAAGTGAAAAGTCAACCATAACGCTATTATAAAGCATTCCTGTAGTTTCTCCTAATATTTTTGAGCCAAAACTGGAAAATGATAAAGGTCAACTGGAATATACCAATAGGTAACTTTGATGTAATAATGGTCATATCGCAAGTTGTACTTGTCCAGATCAATGAATGGTACAAGTTACGTACAAGATACTGCGCATTTGTGTGAATAATGGTTACCAACAGTGAAATTTGTTATCGTAGGATTTCATTCTACTTAGTCATACACTGCGGTTATCGTCGCAATTAACGTTATTAAATTACGTACACTTGCGTTATGGTCTCTGTTATGGCCACCGCTATACCATCGTCGCCGTAAACCGACATGTGCGTTGTTCCCAGAGACTCGACACCAGGGAGAGTTTCGCCGTAGAATTCTTTCGAGTGCACTCCATCGTCAGATATTTTAGATCTGACTAAATCTGCATATTTGTCAGAGAGAAGATCTTGCACCACCTATATGAAATGGAGAATAGCATTTTCAGTCTACTCAAATGAATACACCTCTCTAAAAACACGCCACCTTTTAATGCTTTAAAAATCGTTGATATTTTGGACATTCTTATGATGATGTAGGTTATTAGTAGAACTATTTTTAAACAAAATTCTAATATTTATTCTAAATTAGCAATTGTTGAATTTCATTTCTGATTGGAAAGATTACTCTTTACAACCTGTGACGTCATCAATATAGCCAATATTCTTTCGTTCCTTCTGTGGGCAAAAGATGGCAGGGCTAATTGAAAAGGTCAATTGAGGTCAAATGTTATAAAATATATTCCAGTATCAAATCAGGCTGCTGCAAATTACAAAATCAAAGTACGAAAACTATGATACAGTGGCTATTTACAGTTATATATCATGAGCTTCAACCTTCGCCCAAGAAGTTATACTATTCAACGACCCCCACCCTAAAACATGCTTCCACTCTATCCCCCGAGAAGTTATACTGGTTCACACGCCTCTCTGAAAGCTTTGTTTACCTCGTCTATTCTTTCAAATCTGTAGTCTCCCAGAAGTTTCGTCTTTGGAAGTGTAAATTTGAAGGCTTCTATAATTCTGTGTAGCATCAGAACAGTTCGGTCAGTTGTTGTTAAATCATCCGCAGTGAAAGCATACCCTAAAAACAATTAGATAACAAACTGGTTATCATACACAAGGTACTTGGATCACTCATTAAGTCTGCTTTTAGGGACACTTACATATGTAAGAAGAAATAATTCCTCTGAAATTTTTAGAATTTGCTTGACTAAAATGGCTTTCTAACCCAACAGCCTAAAGTATGAATGGCTCAAGTACCGTCTAGTATTTTAAGAATATGCATCACACCGAGGTTCCCCGAAGGCGGATGTGCTCCAAACACTGTATGTCCGCCATTTCTCAAGGTCGTCTGCAAAGCTGGTTTTATTTCGACTTTGTACCTCATAAGATCGTCTGCAGTTAATACGCCACCTATTTTAAAATGTTAGAAAATAGTCATTTGAACGCCGACGAGTGTAAAGTTGTTATATTTTGGGGGATCAAAAGTTACATTGTGACGGAGGAAACATCGCATTTTAAGAATTTAAGCCCATCCAAGTCTAAGCAAGGGCGAACGTAATACCCGGATCGTTCGCAAATTGGCGTTCGGTTTTTTACCGCATCCGATTTGAATTAGCCAATTCAATAAACGATAAATTGTCTAATGTAGACCAAAAAAGCCCCGGATGTCGTGTCGTTTCTCGTTTCGTTTGGTACACAACTAAGCCCCGGGTATTAAATAAGCCCATCCAAGTCTAAAGTAACAAATACAGTAATTGTCATTCCTTTAATACTTTTATAAAAATGGTTAGTTAAATTTCTTACTTCTTGGTATCGTCACACAAACACTGGTGTCTACTTGGTAATTGTACACGCCGCGTGTTCCATTGAAACTGCATGAAGGACTATTGTCATACAGGTCATATTATCATACAGGTCATATTGTCATACAGGTCATTTTGTCATACAGGTCATATTAACATACAGGTCATATTATTGTCTTCTACCTACCAACCATTCTGATTTCATCTTCAATTGCTTTAGCCAATTCTCCTCGATAGAAAGCATCAGGACCACGTTCAGCGATGAGTTCAAGTGTTTTAGCAAGTTCAGGCATGTAAAGGATATCTCCTTCTTTCTTCAGTTCGCCAGTAGTTGGATCCGTGTAATGCCTGATACGAAGAATTGCAGGTTTACCAAAAGTGTTTTATTTAGTAAAGGACTAAAGATTCTACATGTACATGCATTACTGAAGACTGTTTAGAATCTTGATATGATCTATACGATCGCAATGAACGCGGGAAACATCATATTGTCCCTCGGAATAAAACCCATATTCAATCCCGCCCAGCTGTAAATAACCTGAATCTATGATTCAAATATTTCATTCTAATCCCTTTTTGCATCTTTCACCATAAGATTATCCTGGTGTTTCGTGATAGTGTATGCCCTGAGCCCTTCTTTATATGATTGTTGAACGATAAACAGGTAGGTAGAATGAAGTATTTATTAAATATTTAGCCTAAAACTAAATACTAATTCAACTTACTTTCGCAATCCTGGTAAGTTTAAGATCTCATCGCCCTTGTCTTGTATACTTGCAGCCAAAGCCCATTCGATCGGGAAGCCACCTTTGCATAATTTGATAGTCGCGCCAAACAATTGTTTCCATGGTAACTTCCCATAGAGGTCGTGCATTTCCTTATAGCAGGCGATTTCCCCTGGGACTCCAATGATTATACCTGTGTCACTTGCGTTACCTGAAATATGGATAGACCAAAGGAAAAATCAATACCCGTTGATGTCAGCGGAAAGTTTCGTTTCGTTCAGTGGATGAGCTGCGCGCGCATGCAGAAAAGTCAGGTTTCATATTTACAAGTTAGTATTGTCTTTAAAGGGATTTTCTTTAAGAGCCCATTTCTCACTTTGACATAAACATTAAATTACTCTCCATATTTATCATATAACATGGAGAAATGCTTGATAGGGTCAAAATTGATCACCAAACAATGAAGTATTCATTTCATGTTGGCTGTCATCTTTTACGATTTAACACGGGAGTGGGCTTGCAAGGAATCGCGAGAAATGGGCTTGAAAGAAATGTCCCTTTAAATAGAAAGACGACCAGCGCCATCTGTCTGTTGACCTTGTGAATAGAATTACAACTATAGTACAGTTTAAGTGATAAGGTGACATTTTGATGCGACAATTTAACATTAAGATTAGCGCGTGACATTATGACATTATAGTTAACCGAGAGTTACCATGGTGATACGATGAAGTATGACTTACTCGGAATCTTTATTCTGCATCCCTTCTCGGGATTTTGGTAGCTTTTAAATAATGTGTAGTAAGCTGCAGAAGGTGCTTCTGGTCGACAGGACAAAGAAAACGCCTTTTTCTGTTTACTGAAAATATACACTCCCTCCATAAGTGTGGCAACTTTACCTCCCCAATTGAACTACGTGTTAAAGCATCTTTACCTTTGAATTTTTATTTACTTAACCTGCGATGAAAACACTTTTACTGTTGATGGAAACGTAATTTGACTTCATTTCCATTACCTCCAAATTTTCTCAATTTTTTTCCTCAATTACAATAGATCGAAAATTGATGATAAATTTGATGAATATTTGAATATCGACATTCCCATGTGAACCAATGGGAAATGGTAGCCTTGCAAAACTACAAGTTAGATAGGCAATTGAATTTGCTAATTTTATTTAACAAAAAATCAATACGTTTCTTCAGGTTCAACAAAGTTAAAGGTCTTTAAAGTCAAAATTATTTTTAAAAAAACCTCTCCCATTGAAATAATACAAGAGGCAAAAAATGATTTTCAAAAATGACTTTGAAGTCTCGTGACTTTAGTATTCATCAAGGAAACTAAACACTTAGTGCACAAAAGTTAGACAATTCAATTTTCGATACAAAAATACTTATTTGCTGAATCTTTTACTCAATAGATATCCTGATTTCTGATTTAACCCGAATCCCCCATTTCCCATTGGTTTACATGGGAATGACGTATTCAAATATTCATCAAAATCATCAATCTTCGAACTTTTGTAATTGAGGAAAAAATTGGTAAAAGGAGGTATTGGAAATAATACGTTTCCATAAATACAGGGTGGTCAAAAAAATGGAAACCCTGTCGCCATTTCCCTCATATCTTTGTCATTTTAAGAAATTACTCCCTGATATTTCACACATTTGTACATCACTCAATTTCCTACCGGTCTACCACATTTCATGACCATCAAATTGATAGTCACAATGTTACAGCACTTTAAACAACATGCTCCAGTGGCCAATATTGCACTTTCGGCAAACCTGCACCTATCATCCAAAATGTCCCTACCTAACTTCAACCTGTGGTGATACACCAAAAAGGAGTGTATGAGAATAACCCCAGGACAACTGCAGACCTCAAAAAGCAGATCATCCATGTCATTCGGGCCGTACCTGCTGAAAATTGTTGTCAGATCATTGACAACCTGTTCAGATTTGCCAATAGCGCGATGGTGGCCACACTGGGGCATCTTATTCAAAGTGCTGTACCATTGTGACTATCAATCTGATGGTCATGAAATATGGTTAGCTGGTAGGAAATTGAATGTTGTACATGTCAGTCAAATTTCAGGGAATAATTACCCAAAATGACAAAGATATGAGGAAAATTCAGGGTTTCCATTTTTTTGACCACCCTGTATTATAAGTTATTTTATCGCAGGTTAAGTGAATAACAATTCAAACGTAAAAAGGCTTTAACACTTAGTTCAATGGGGGAGCTAAGGTTGCCAAACTTATGAAGGGGAGTGTACTATAATATGCTTGTATTCTATCTATTATACCATACATTGTTTTGCTCATAAATATTGGCTTATATGTATAATTTTACAAATTTCTTTACTTATTGACCACTCCTTGTAGGAAGAAAACGCCCAGAAGCACACACTCCTCTACATAAGTTTGGCAAATATAAGTTTTAATTGATCAGCATATCAACGTTTGACAATGTTTTGATGATTTTTTAATCACCCAATGTAAACAGGCTTTGACAAATGATTCGAAAGGTGATTAACGGTTGGTAAACTTATGAAGGGGAGTGTATTTTAAGATTTGAAGAAACTCACGTATCGTAAAGAGTTACTACAGCCCCGCCCCCTATCCCCGTGCTCTGTGGATTTACTACCCCGAGACAAAGTGACGTCGCAATCGCAGCGTCAACTGAAGAGCCGCCATCTTGTTTCAAAATGTTTCTGAAAATATATTATGAAATAGGCTTAATAAATCAACGTTTTATATAAATAAACAGAGATCCTAATACTACAAGCTTTCAACAAAATGAACATAAGTTTGGCAAAATAAATGATTTCTCAGATTCTCTAAATCCATTTTATTTACTTATCATGCCATATTATGAGTGGAATAGTCTAGAATATTTTCCCCAAAGTCCGCTGCCATTTCTCATAATCTACGATAATAGAACATTAGTGTATTCTTACGTTCCAATGGTTGAGCAGATGTGGTGGTCAGAAGCAACAGCTGCTCTGCTGTACTTGCCAGCAGGTGTGTTTGTCAGAGGAGGTTCGTTGATCCCATCACCTGGTCCTTCGCGGTAAATTCCTCTTTCGGGTTTAGTCTTTTCCTGAAGGTATTCCATATAAATTAACACAGGCCTAATTATTATTATCATTAATTTATTAACCTGTATTTAAACAGAGTAGTACAAAACATATAATATAAAGTTATGGTGGATTAAAACAGATTTAATAACAGTTAAGTGACACCTTATTAATTATTAGAGATCAGATGCATCTATAATGTGTTTCACTAGTATGTTAATTGCCAGCATATTGGCTGATGAGCTTTGCTCTTTTGATATACATTACATGGATAATGTTTGAAATACAAGCCATGTCTGAATAAGTGACGTTTATGATAATACAATAACATTAAATTGTTAAACTAATTTTAGGTCTAATTTTAAATTTTGGATTGTGAAATATTGTATTTCCAACACACTATTTTAGGGTTTCTTTAATTGTAAAAATATATTTTAAATAAACTATTTAGGGGAACTTAGATTGTTAAAATATATTTTAACACACTATTTCGGGAAACTTAAATTGTTGAAAATATATTTTACCTTGCAATTTTGGGAAACTCTAAATTTTAAATATATAATATACTATTTTTTGATTAATTTTGATTCTTTTTAAAAAGCTTGGAACAAAATTACTAGTGTAGCCAAGGGTTTATTAAATACCCGGGGCTTAGTATGTGTACCGAACGAAACGAATTGGCATTGAATTTGGCCACACTGTACACACCCCTCCATAAGTTTAGCAACCCGAGTCTTCATTTGAGCATAATTTTCTTTGCAAACGAAGTTGGCTGAGGGTACCCCGAATGTGAAGAGGACGTCTCTAATTGGTCAAAAAGAGAGACCAGGTGTAAAAGGGTAGGAGGTCCTATCAAATTATGGTCCTACTTTCCATTGATTTGTATGGTGACCTTAATACAACTCTTACCCAGCTTATTATCGTATCCACAATCAGGGCCAGTAAGGGCCTTTAAGAAAGGGGACCATAATCCCCAGGGGACTATAATTACTTTTACACCGGCATTCTCCGCCAGATTGAATCGGCAAAATTCGGTTGTATGGCTTACCTTCGGTTGTATGGCCCAACCTCGATTGAATGGAAAAGATGCTGTCCCATTTGGTAATATTTAATGAACAAAGTGTCACTTTACCTGAAAACCGCCATCTTTATATATCTCTTCATTTGAACATCCGGGTGAATCACACGTCGTCGATTGAAGACTTAATGACACTAGGAACGCCGTGACAGATATAACATACACATAGAATAGACATTTAAGTAGGTATACGATCAACCCTCTGGAAACAAATTGAAATATATGTTCTTATTTAAGGACGGTGAAATGTGATGCAAATTCCGGAACAAACGGTCCTTCAAAAAACATTTTTGAAATAAATAAAAAGTTTGACATTTCACACTTTTATAATATTGGATAAGCCAAAGTTTATATTGGATCTTTAACTGATTAATACAATTTTACACCCATTGGAAAGATATACTGTGACTGGTTGAACATAGTTGTATTCATCATACATTTATCTGCATGTCCCATGGAAAATAAGGTACAAATCATAAACAAGGAAGTGCAAAATAAGATCGCTAAATCAAATAAAGGATAGTCTATAGAAGACCTTTAATTTTCCTCAAACTTAGACAATATTTGGCTTCTGACAAACGGCGAATTATCGAAAACAAACGGCGATTTTAGGCACTCGCCACCTGCTATTGAAAGCCCAGCTTAGAGTAATCTGATACATTCTCTATACCTTCCCATTGGCATAATCTGATACATTCTCTATACCTTCCCCTTAGCATAATCTGATACGTTCTCTATACCTTCCCATTGGCATAATCTGATACATTCTCCATACCTTCCCCTTAGCATAATCTGATATGTTCTCTATACCTTCCCATTGGCATAATCTGATACATTCTCCATACCTTCCCCTTAGCATAATCTGATACGTTCTCTATACCTTCCCATTGGCATAATCTGATACATTCTCTATACCTTCCCCTTAGCATAATCTGATACGTTCTCTATACCTTCACTTTAGCATAATCTGATACATTCTCTATACCTTCCCTTTAGCATAATCTGATACGTTCTCTATACGTTCCCCTTAGCATAATCTGATACATTCTCCATACCTTCCCATTAGCATAATCTGATACATTCTCCATACTTTCCCATTAGCAATATCTGATACATTCTCCATACCTTCCCCTAGGCATAATCTGATACATTCTCCATACCTTCCCCTTAGCATAATCTGATACATTCTCCATACCTTCCCCTTAGCGTAATCTGATACATTCTCCATACCTTCCCATTGGCATAATCTGATACATTCTCTATACGTTCCCCTTAGCATAATCTGATACATTCTCCATACCTTCCCCTTGGCATAATCTGATACATTCTCCATACCTTCCCCTTAGCATAATCTGATACATTCTCCATACCTTCCCCTTGGCATAATCTGATACATTCTCCATACCTTCCCATTGGCATAATCTGATACATTCTCTATACCTTCCCCTTAGCATAATCTGATACATTCTCCATACCTTCCCCTTAGCATAATCTGATACGTTCTCTATACCTTCCCATTGGCATAATCTGATACATTCTCCATACCTTCCCCTTAGCATAATCTGAAACGTTCTCTATACCTTCCCATTGGCATAATCTGATACATTCTCTATACCTTCCCCTTAGCATAATCTGATACGTTCTCTATACCTTCACTTTAGCATAATCTGATACATTCTCTATACCTTCCCTTTAGCATAATCTGATACGTTCTCTATACCTTCCCATTGGCATAATCTGATACATTCTCCATACCTTCCCTTTAGCATAATCTGATACATTCTCCATACCTTCCCATTAGCATAATCTGATACATTCTCTATACTTTCCCATTGGCATAATCTGATACATTCTCCATACCTTCCCATTAGCATAATCTGATACATTCTCTATACCTTCCCATTGGCATAATCTGAAACGTTCTCTATACCTTCCCATTAGCATAATCTGATACATTCTCCATACCTTCCCCTAGGCATAATCTGATACATTCTCTATACCTTCCCATTAGCATAATCTGATACATTCTCCATACCTTCCCCTAGGCATAATCTGATACATTCTCCATACCTTCCCCTTAGCATAATCTGATACATTCTCCATACCTTCCCATTGGCATAATCTGATACATTCTCCATACCTTCCCTTTAGCATAATCTGATACATTCTCCATACCTTCCCATTAGCATAATCTGATACATTCTCTATACTTTCCCATTGGCATAATCTGATACATTCTCCATACCTTCCCATTAGCATAATCTGATACATTCTCTATACCTTCCCATTGGCATAATCTGAAACGTTCTCTATACCTTCCCATTAGCATAATCTGATACATTCTCCATACCTTCCCCTAGGCATAATCTGATACATTCTCTATACCTTCCCATTAGCATAATCTGATACATTCTCCATACCTTCCCCTAGGCATAATCTGATACATTCTCCATACCTTCCCCTTAGCATAATCTGATACATTCTCCATACCTTCCCCTTAGCATAATCTGATACATTCTCCATACCTTCCCCTTAGCATAATCTGATACATTCTCCATACCTTCCCATTAGCATAATCTGATACATTCTCTATACCTTCCCCTTAGCATAATCTGATACGTTCTCTATACCTTCCCATTGGCATAATCTGATACATTCTCTATACCTTCCCCTTAGCTAATCTGATACGTTCTCTATACCTTCCCCTAGGCATAATCTGATACATTCTCTATACGTTCCCCTTGACATAATCTGATACATTCTCTATACGTTCCCCTTGACATAATCTAATACATTCTCTATACCTTCCCCTAGGCATAATCTGATACATTCTCTATACCTTCCCCTTAGCTAATCTGATACGTTCTCTATACCTTCCCCTAGGCATAATCTGATATATTCTCTATACATTCCCCTTAGCGTAATCTGATACATTCTCTATACATTCCCCTTAGCGTAATCTAATACATTCTCTATACCTTCCCCTAGGCATAATCTGATACATTCTCTATACCTTCCCTTTAGCATAATCTGATACGTTCTCTATACCTTCCCCTAGGCATAATCTGATACATTCTCTATACATTCCCCTTAGCGTAATCTGATACGTTCTCTATACCTTCCCCTAGGCATAATCTGATACATTCTCTATACATTCCCCTTAGCATAATCTGATACATTCTCTATACCTTCCCATTAGCATAATCTGATACATTCTCTATACCTTCCCCTAGGCATAATCTGATACACTCTCTATACCTTCCCATTGGCATAATCTGATACATTCTCTATACGTTCCCCTTGACATAATCTAATACATTCTCTATACCTTCCCCTAGGCATAATCTGATACATTCTCTATACCTTCCCATTAGCATAATCTGATACATTCTCTATACCTTCCCCTTAGCATAATCTGATACGTTCTCTATACCTTCCCATTGGCATAATCTGATACATTCTCTATACCTTCCCCTTAGCTAATCTGATACGTTCTCTATACCTTCCCCCAGGCATAATCTGATACATTCTCTATACGTTCCCCTTGACATAATCTGATACATTCTCTATACGTTCCCCTTGACATAATCTAATACATTCTCTATACCTTCCCCTAGACATAATCTGATACATTCTCTATACCTTCCCTTTAGCATAATCTGATACGTTCTCTATACCTTCCCCTAGGCATAATCTGATACATTCTCTATACATTCCCCTTAGCGTAATCTGATACATTCACTACACCTTCTCCTTAGCGTAATCTGATACATTCTCTATACCTTCCCCTCAGCGTAATCCGATACATTCTCTATACCTTCCCCTTAGCGTAATCAGATACATTCTCTATACCTTCCCCTTAGCGTAATCTGATATATTCACCATACCTTCGTCTCCTGAGGGTAATCCGATGCCACATCCATTGTAGACTCGTTTTGTTATGCGCTTCAATTGACAAATTGTAATCGGTACTTTCCATTAGGGATCTCATCTTAAACTGCCTTGCTCAGAAATACCGAATGCGAGATAAGCAATTGGCATAATAGTGAATGAATGTATAACGCATCTTTCAGCAGGTGTTCCATTAGTGAACAATAATTGTTAAACGTTTGGATTAAGCATGTGGGCTATTAACCAATATCTCAAATGAGGTCCAGTACACATAAATATAGATAGGTGTACACTTTAATTACTTCGCAGGTGGAAGTTGGTATACAGAGTTTACTTCAAGTAGTTCAGTTCTGATTGTTCATTACAAATATAACGACAATTACCACGGCAGTGGTATTTAAGACTACAACCTTTGATATGTTGTAGTTCGTTACCATGGCAGTGATATTTAAGACTACAACCTTTGATATGTTGTAGTTCGTTACCATGGCAATGATATTTTAGACTACAACCTTTGATATGTTGTAGTTCGTTACCATTGCAGTGATATTTAGGACTACAACCTTTGATATGTTGTAGTTCGTTACCACGGCAGTGATATTTAAGATTACAACCTTTGATATGTTGTTGTTCGTTACTACGGCAGTGGTATTTAAGACTACAACCTTTGTAGTTCGTTCCCATGGCAATGGTATTTAAGACTACAACCTTTGATATGTTGTAGTTCGTTACCATGGCAGTGATATTTGTGACTACAACCTTTGATATGTTGTAGTTCGTTACCATGGCAGTGGTATTTACACTCCCCTCCATAAGTTTGGCAACCTTTTTCCCCATTGAACTACGTGTGAAAGCCTTTTTACGTTTGAATTTTTATTTACTTAACCGGCGATGAAATTTCAATTTTTTCCTCAATTACAATAGGTCGAAAATTGATGATAAATTTGATGAATTTTTGAAAATCGTCATTCTCATGTAATCCAATGGGAAATGAAGGGTTCGGGGCAAATCAGAAATCAGGATATCTTTTCAGTAAAAGATTCAGCAAAAAATATTTTTATATAGAAAATTGAATTGCCTAACTTTTTTGAACACTTAGTGTTTAGTTTATTTGATGAATATTAAAGTTACAGCGCTTCAAAGTTATTTTTGAAAATTATTTTTCGCCTCCTGTGTTATTTCAATAGGAGAGGTTTTTTGAAAAACAATTTTGACTTTAAAGCCCTATAACTTTGTTGAACCTGAAGAAACATATCAATTTTTTGTTAAATAAAGTTCGCAAATTCAATTACCTGCCTAATTCGTATTTTTTGCAAGGACTCGGATGGATGGATATTCTGTCATATGACTTGCGGCAAACCTACCATTTCCCATTGGTTAACATGGGAATGTCGATTTTCAAAAATTCATCAAATTCATCATCAATTTTCGACCTATTGTAATTGAGGAAAAAAATTGAGAAAAATTGGAGGTATTGGAATTAAAGTCAAATTACGTTTCCATCAATAGAATAAGTATTTTCATCGCAGGCTAAGTAAATAAAAATTCAAAGGTAAAGAGGCTTTAACACGTAGTTCAATAGGGGAAAAAGGTTGCCAAACTTATGGAGGGGAGTGTACGCTGTACGAGGTTAAATTACCAAACCATATAATCATCACATATGTAATGACCCGAGGGCACCCCAGGGGAATGACTAACGAGCAAAGTGTGACAAGCCAGATGAAGAAATTGAAAGAAAGTGTGCTAAATTCAATGCCCCGTGTGGGAATCGAATTTAGGACCCATGAAACCGGGCATCGATCTAAAGACTGATGCTCTACCTATGACTTCTCTATAACTGAGCTATAAAGGCTTAAAGTTGTACTCAAACCATTTTACTCGACTAATGCCTGGGTCAAGTACATTTGCTCTGATTCATCGGCCAGTGCCAGGCCGATTGAGTATTTTGTTCTGAATACAATTTTGAAGAAAATACTCAATCGGCCGGGCACCGGTGTGAAAGAAATTATGGTCTCCCGGGAATTATGGTCCCCTTTCTTAACGGCCCTTACTTGCCCTGATTGCGTATAAGATAATAAGGGAAAGAGGTCACCATATAAATCAATGAAGTGAGTAGCTCCCATGATTCTTTCATATTCTATCGTATTCGGAGATTCCTCATTACGTCATCTCCCGCATCATCTCCAATCAAATTGCAGGATGCTATCACGTGAACAAACATGAGCACGTGCTCTCTCAAAGCTGCGCATGCGCAAAGTAAAATTTGAAATTGTGGAAATGGCGTTAACATCAGTTCAATATCATCATTTTAAACCTACGGTAATACTATTAACGTTACTCGATCCAAACTTGTAGAGAATACTCATAAACTACAGCGAACATTAGGAGATTCAGTTCAATGGCAAATGAGGCCTGTTTATAAAATTTGTTTTCGAACGTGCCAATATGAAAGGTCATCTTTTGGAAATCTCCCCCCCCCCTGAAGAAGAGTATGACCATATTTTGATAGGACATCCTACCCTTTTACACCGGTCGGAGAATCGGAGCAAATGTGATCCAGGCATTAGATATATTAATGCTATCTTATACCGTATGAAGGCCACATTCGCTCTTATGTTGAGCCAATTATTGCATGATTGAGGATATTCTCATCAATTTCGCAAAGGGTATGATATCACTTGCAATTGCGTGCGGAATCAATCGAGCTGAAACGCTATTGAAAGCATGTAAGTTATATAACTGCAAACATTGCCAGTGTTTGGGGATTAAAACTTTTTAACCAGAATGTAATGCTGTAAAGCCAAAATATAATTATTGGGTTAACATTTTCAGTTATCGATATACGGTTTCACAAATGCATTTCAATCAATTCCTTGTATATGTAATGAAAAATGAATAATATTGCAGTGCTCTTTCCTCAAGAATTTCTTTTTGGGAAGTTCAATCAATTAAAAATATTTATGTGGCTATTGGAATGCGTGCGAATGTTACCCTGCGTGCAGAGTCTAGTTAAACTACAAGACGAAGCTCTCTTTTCAAAAGTGAAGTCAAACGAATGCAAAGGGTATGCGAATGTGGAACTTATGTATAATTCTACTTTGGTTCAGCCTTCGTAGTAGTTTGCAACAACTTTTCGATTTAGCACCAGAATAACTTGGCACACGGTACGTCATGGTCAGGTGACCTCAAAAAGTGCGCAAAAATAACATTTCATACAGTCTTATCTAATGAATCGTGTTGTGTGGGGAAATATCACAAGCTTTGTAGTCAAAATAACAAAAGGGATGCTATTTTTCTTAAATTTGTTATAGTACAACTTTAAGCCACTATATGTCATTGTCATTTGTATCCCAAGAATAATCCGGTTGTTCCATTACTAAAACCCTAAAGCCCTATCTGAACTGCTAAATCGGATGAAATTGTGGTATTGTGAAATATTACATATGATATATTCATACTATTCAATATATATATGTGTACAGTATAACAGTATATAATATGTAGTTTGAAAAACGTAGTCTTATTTTCTTTATTTTTCTTAAAATATATTTTTATAGTATTTTTTATTGTTGGATGTACGTTTGGCCCTATTAGGACATCAGTACAAATATGGAGTCAACTATGACCTCGTTTTATAAATGGAACCAATGATAGTTGGACCAAATTTGGACCAATGAAAAATGAGGCTGGGTTTCTACAAGGTGAGCCCAAAAATATGTAACCCAAACAAACGTTAATAGCTCCGTCTTCAAACATGGATTTGAAAACATATTTGGCACAATTTAACCAATTCGTTCTTCCAGTCTACTAAGTTTCATTGGTCTACTCTCAATAGTCACATTTTAACGGCCATTGTAAAAAACATGCTCCAAAATGCGGAAAAATCACCCAATATGAATCCCCAAACTTTCATCTTTGGAGTTCAAAGATATTGTCCACAGTTAACGTTACAACTCTAAAAGCAGGGTCATAGTGAAGGGAGTTTGTGGGCCTCATGTGGATTCCTATTCGCCTTGACTCCCCCTTCGTTATAAACCGAACGCTCAGGCCAGTGAAAAATTGAACCCCGCTTTGTAAACCATGTCCACTCCCTTGGGGAAGTATAAGAGAGTTGAAACAAGAGATAAGAAGGATGGTTAGAGCCATTACACAATATATCTGCGAGCATCTAGTGACCTGGTGTGTTCAAATTACCCTCCAGAGATGAGAACGGCATTTTGAGGATGATTTGTAAAATAACCATAATAATATTATGGTCATTTTAGATAGACCAATGAAACTAAACAAGGGAATGAAGAGACTTTGAACAAGGTTCAATTCCGCTAAATATGATTTTAAACCCATGGTGGATGACTGAGTTATAAACATTTGTTAAGATAACTTTTTTGGCCCACCCTACACAATGACAGTGAGGCTCCGTATGGAGTAAAACCTTCTGAGTTGCGTACATATTTGGTTGAAATGTTCAGCGCATGCGCATTTAACGTATAGCAATATGTCAGTTCGTCTCGAATATGGTGTAATGTTCAGCGCATGCGCAATTAAATAGTAGCCACACACCAGTCCATTTTTCCCGAAGTCTGAGTATGCGTGTATTGGTTGAAATGTTCAGCACATGCGCAATTAACTTATAGCTATCTTTCAGTCTAACTTTCCTGAAGTCTGATAGGATAGTATGCGCGTATTTGGTGTAATGTTCAGCGCATGCGCAATTAACTAATAGCCACACATCAGAGCTCATCAGTCAATCTTTCCCAAAGTCCGAGAATGCGTGTATTGATCGAAATGTCCAGCGCATGCACGATTAACTAAAAGCCACCTGTCAGTCCATCTTTCCTGAAGTCCGAGTATGCGTGAATCGGGTGCGTTCCATTCTTGGTGTTATGTATAGCTTGACATGCCCCTGATGCAGTATCCTGTATCGTTATAGTATGCCCCTTCTTAATTAGACCATCAATGTATTTCTGAAACGATAAACCACATAAACATTGCATTGCGCATCTAGGCCCGGGTTTTGCTAAAGATACAATCTGATTGGTGGTTGGTTCCAAGGTCGACAATCATGTTCATAATATGAGGTACGTCTTCGGCCTTTATAGATAAAATAAAGGTCCTTTATATCTTTAATTAAATTTTCAAGTTTTTTTGTAGACATAACTCTTAGAGGTATATTGTGCTCATGTTGGGAATAGATGACGGACAGTCTTACAATTTTAAAGTCATTCATACCATTTGTAATTTGTAATCTAATTTGGTTCATGTTGATTACGTTTTATGATAAAATGTCACTCGAACAATTTTGCAACTCACTCTGTCTTGTTTGAATACAAATATCCACTTGTGCGTACATGTCTTGAAATTGTTTGGTATAATTATACAGAAAAATAAGAATATATTATTTATAACAGAAATATGTACGCACCAGTGCAAAAGAGAAAGGACCAAAAGTTGTTACATATATGAGCCAGGGCACAGGAAAAGGGGTCTTATCACAGATTTTTTCTATTTCCTGATTTTATTGTTTATCTTAAAAAGCACAAAGAGACCTTTCAAATTAACAATTTTTCCTTGCATATATAACTAATAAGTCGGATTTGAATTTAGCAAATTTTCCTCTTAATCTTGGGCATATTTTTGGCTCTGTAGCACAATTTTAATTTTTGTGATAAGAGCGGTTTTCCTATGGCTAGGCTCATATATAGAACATAGGAAGAAAAGACATCTACCAGTACGCCAGTCATGAGGAAAACAAACCCCAACTATCCCAAACCGTGATCTAACGTGAAATAAAACAATGTCTAATATCCCCACTATTCAAGTGCCAGTATCACAATCCGGGACTATTCCACCGAGCTACATTCCATTCATACTGCAGTAAATTTACAATACATTTTGAAGAGTAAATTTGAATTGATAACCAATACTCATAAATTCAGTCTCCAAGACGCAACTCAACTTTAAAATGCCTTATGATACTTGACTCATAAATCGACACTCATAAATTCAGTCTCCAAGACGCAACTTTAAAATGCCTGACGATACTTGACTCATAAATTGGCAATCATAAGTTCAGTCTCCAAGGTGCAACTCAACTTTAAAATGCCTTATGATACTTGACTCATAAATTGATTCAGTTTCATTGGTATTTCAATTTAGTAAATGAACATTTATTAAATTAATCAAAATACAGGTGTTCAATTTTTGTTTGTGTCTTTAGAATGTCACAACTCACCTTAGGAAGTGTTTTTTCTATGATGATACTTTTCTCCCGATTTACAACAATAACTCGAGGATATTCTACAGCTTTTTGTATTGACTGACCAAGCCAAATGTTCCTTACGACAGTCTGAAATGACATAGAACATAAACTAGAAAACAGCAACTCCATTATGAGGCAAATCCCACCGAACAAAACATATTTTAATAAACTCCTTAAAAAGAGCTCATTCGTCCCTAAGTATCAGTATATACAATTTGAGTATACTTCGTCCAAATATGGGTTTTTACTAAAAATTGCCGCCATTTTGAAATTCAACTGTCATCCTGAAACTCTCTTCAGAGCTCCTTTGTCCTTAAGCATCAGGATTTAAAGCAGCACGTAGGTTATCGCAAACAAATTCAAACGATTCTAACTTGAATTATGAATATTTTCTGATCATGAACATGGGTGTATCTTTTAGATCCGTTCATTATCTCCAAGAAAAAAATATAATGATAATTTAGTTAATCAGACCTAAGTGATATGGAAGGGGCAATGGACCAATCAACATACTTTTTCAAAAATGTTGACCTAATTTTCACCAAAAATGCAACCTTTTATCATATTGTTAAATGCATAATTAGAATGTGCTTTGAGACATCTTCGATTTCCTAAAAGGAAAAGTTGATTGCTCTAGGGACTTTAAAGATACTGAGTCTGGATGACCAAAATGAACTGAAACCAATGAATAGCATGAGCTTTTTCAATGGAGAAATAACATGGGGGACGCTAATCTTAAAGCAATTAAGTTTTTCTTTCAAGAACTATTTGATGCATCAAATTAAAGAATAGTAATGTATTAGACATTGTAAGAAATGATTGCATTTTTGGTGAAAATGGGGTCAACATCTTTGAAAAAGTGTGTTGATGGGTTGATTGCAAGTTAAATATCTGAATATCTATAATTTTCTTTGAGATAATGAATTGATCTAAAAGATAAACCTGTCTTCATTGTCAGAAAATAGTCATAATCCAAGATATAACCTTCTGAAATTGTTTGCGATGGCGTATACGTGCTCCTTTGAACCAAATTCTCCACTAGTTTTGAGTTTTCTATAAAAAGGCGGCCTTTTCAAAATATAGCCGTCATCTTGAAAAATTCGTGCTCATTGCTCCCGAGGAATCAACATAAACATGAACCAAGTCTGTACACTGGTTTACGGGTTATCAATAATAACATTTTTAACGACAAATAACGGCCATTTTAAAATGCATTGGACATGTTTAAATGTCTTTTGAGGAGGGCTCCTTTGTCTCCAGCCACTAACATATAAAGTTTGAAACAAATTCGTCATCTGGTATTTGGGTTAGCAAAGATTACGTTCATTTACGAAAAATGAGTGACATTTTGAAATTCAATTATCTTGAAAATTCCTTAGGCATCTGCATTTAAATCTGTCAAATCCAGATTTGATCCAAATATGTCAACTCGTATTAAAGTTATCAAGGATTATATTTTTTATAAATTGAGAGGCCATATTGAAAATTCCTTCTCGAAAAAAGGTCGTACACCCATAAAACATAAGTCTAAAGAATTTCAATCAAATACGTCAACCGATATTGACTGATCGTCGGACACAAGAACAGACGGACGGATGTGCTGGTTTAATTTAAGGATGCAGTACCAGGTCAGCGTAGAATAAGTTCCAGACATTAGATTTTGCTCATATTTTTACAATGTATCACTATGATGTTATCATCATCCAAGTGCAATATGAAGAGGATTGACCGTCTGGTAATTACAAAATAAAAAAGTTATTTTACCCATCCAAAATGAATCTTTTTACTTTTTTGAGTTTTCAATAGAGCTGGCACCTTTCGAACCCTGGTTTTCGTATGACTAATTGCGACTCAAGAACAAGTTTTCCCACAAAAGTGAAAGGGATAAAATATGCTTGATAAAATGTTTGCAATTTAATTATTTTCTGGAAACATCATTATCGAAATAAACTATAATTTTTGAATAAGACTAAATGCGAAAATGACGTTCTTGGGAGCTAGCTTTCTCAAACCGGAAGTCAAACCTGCGCAAACAGACGTGAAAACCGACCCGGTATTGCATCCTTAATTGTAGCTTGAGAATATCTGTTCTTTTCTCTCTTGTTCTTCTTTATTTTGATATTTATTCTGCCTGTCATTTCACGATTTATTCTATCTTGAGCATGAAACTCATTGTATAAGTAATTTTTTGTAACTTACGCTAATGACAGCAGATGTTAGCTTTCCTCCCCCTGACGCACCAATCACGCGACTAACAACGCCATCACTGTCAACAATTATTGTTGGACTCATCATCGTCATAGGGCGTTTCCCTGGAGACAAGGCTAGAGCCGGATTACAAAGGTCACCTGTACTTCCTCTTGCCCCAGGAAGTGAAAAGTCAACCATGACACCATTGTAAAGAATTCCTGTTTTTTCTCCTAATACCTTGGAGCCAAAACTGAAAAATGTTGAAGGTAAAATGGAATAGACAAATAGGAAACTTTACATTAATAAAGGTCATATCATAAATATTTTCCTCTACTCCAAGTTAATGAATGAAAGACTAAGCTTAGAAACCTTAAGACTAGGTAAGGCCCATTTATTTGAATGTTGGTTACCAATAGTGAAATTCGTTATCGTAGAATTTTAATTTACTTAGTCAGACAGTGCAGTTATTGTCGCGATTGACGCCATTTGTCTACGTACACTGGGGTAATGGTCTCTGTTATGGCCACCGCTATACCATCATCACCATAAACCGACACATGGGTTGTCCCCAGAGACTCGACACCAGGGAGAGTTTCGCCGTAGAATTCTTTCGAGTGTACACCAACGTCAGATATTTTAGATCTGACTAAATCTGCATATTTGTCAGAGAGAAGATCTTGCACCACCTATATCAAATGAAAATCATATATTCGGTCTACTCAACTGAATAGACCTTGGCATCGTTTAAGGATGGGACAGCATCTTTTCAATTCAATCGAGGTATGGCCATGCAGACGAAGGTAAGCCATACAACCGAATTTTGCCGATTCAATCTGACGGAGAATGCCGAGCCTCTCTTTTTGACCAATTAGAGACGTCCTCTTCACAATCGTTGTACCCTCGGCCAACTTCGTTTGCAAAAAAAATCTTCGGCAATCTCCGGCTTTTCTTCGGTTGCAAGCCATAAAATCTAAAAACATAAGTATGGTGTAACTTTATAACCTTAGTATACATCATTCTAATGTCCGATCATAAGTTTGAATAATAGTTTCGTTTCAAATATTGATTGTATGACATATACGAGACCAATGTTAATTCTACCAGGGGAAATTGGACCTACATGCATTACTTTTTATACATAATTGAATATTTCGTTGCGGTTTTATTTTAACATCGTAATTTCCATCACCACCATCACTTTTCTAACGAGTATCCTTGGAATATTAGAAATTGCTATATTGGTGACAAATTGTTTCTAGTTTCCTGTTAAATGTTGAAACGGCTCACGCGTGATAAATGAAATAAATACAGATTCATAAATGTCACGTGCTTCTAATCCAAGAAGAGTATCTAACGCTCTCTTTAAGCATCTGGTACCTCATTATGTATGTCGTGCTTTTAAGCCAAGAAGTGGTGCTTTTTAAGCATTTGGTACGTCATTATGTATGTCGTGTGCTTTTAAGCCAAGAAGTGGTGCTTTTTAAGCATTTGGTACGTCATTGTGTATGTCGTGTGCTTTTAAGCCAAGAAGTGGTGCTTTTTAAGCATTTGGTACCTCATTATGTATGTCGTGCGCTTTTAAGCCAAGATGGGGTGCTATTTAGGCATTTAATACATCATGCTTTCGAATAACCAATATGTATGGAGTGTGCTTTTAAGCCAAGAAGTGATACAATTTAACACCCCTTTAAAGTAGTATTACCTCATCTATGTTTTCAAATCTATGATCGCCAAGATGTTTAACACGTGATAATGTAAATTTGAAGGCTTCTATGATTCTGTGTAGCATCAGAACAGTGCGGTCAGTAGTTGTTAAGTCTTCTGCAGTGAACCCATATCCTAAAAAATGTGAATAACAAACTAGTTACATAAAATACAATTATTTCTTCTTTTAATTCTTCATGACAATAAGTTATCCATATGGAAAATTTCCATGGAGCTACAGGAATTCAATGTGAAATAGGGATCCATCCTTTCTATTTTGGGTACTTATTTATACCCCTTATATAGAAAAGATGTTCTAAAATGGGACAATGCCAGAAGAAAGGATCGTGTCCTATAGTTTTAAAATTTGCTCCATTTATACGACTTTTCAGCTCAAATAATAAGTAAGAATTGCTTTAGTACCGTCTAGTATTTTAAGAATATGCATAACCCCGAGGTTCCCCGAAGGCGGACGTGCTCCAAACACTGTATGTCCGCCATTTCTCAAGGTCGTCTGCAAAGCTGGCAGCATTTCGACTTTGTATCTCTTGAGATCGTCCACGGTTAATACGCCACCTATTGTAAAATTGTTGAAAAATTCATTTATATTCTCACAAGTATAGAGTGTGTGTATGACGTAACTTGGCAGAACAAAATAGTGATAAGCAGACGCCTGCAGTTAATACGCCACTTATTTTGAAATGAAAAGTGAGTGTGTTTGGCAAAGCAAATAAGAAATAGTGATTAGAGTACATCTGCAGGAAATACGTCACCTATGTTAGATGAAAAATGAGGTTGTTTGGCAGAGCAAAAAGTGATAAGAAGATGCCTGCAGTTAATACGCTACTTATTTTGAAATGAAAAGTGAGTGTGTTTGGCAGAGCAAATAAGAAATAGTGATAAGAGTACATCTGCAGGAAATACACCCTATTGTGAGATGAAAAATGAGGCTGTTTGGCAGAGCAAAAAGTGATAAGAAGACGCCTGCAGTTAATACGCTACTTGTTTTGAAATGAAAAGTGAGTGTGTTTGGCAAAGCAAATAAGAAATAGTGGTAAGAGTACATCTGCATTAAATACAACCTATTGTTATTCTTACGCCACCTATTTTTAAATTAAAAGTGAGATTAGTTGGCAGAGCAAATAGTGATAAAAGCTCAACTGTTTAATTAAGCAATTTACCCTTTTAAAAGTTTCATTTTAGTAAACAATTACGAGGCTCTTAGCTAACACCAAGGCTGTATTTTTGTATGCCCGTGGTGCTTGTTAAATACTTAATATTTAAATAAGTTTTCAGCCCAAGTATCGATGCGGAATCGGGCACACATTGCATTACCTATTCTAACGATATGCATTTCATTTTAACAATATGCATCATTATGCATACCTGTTATATTATTCTAGCCTACCTACCAACCATTTTGATTTCATCTTCAATAGTTTTAGCTAGTTCCCCTCGATAGAAAGCATCGGGACCACGTTCAGCAATGATTTGGAGAGTTTTGGCAAGTCCAGGCATGTAAAGGATATCTCCTTCTTTCTTCAGTTCACCAGTAATTGGATCCGTGTAAAGTCTGAAACCATAGATTGAATATTTACCAGTGTTTAATGTGGTATAGGTATTCTTTCTAAATATTGTTTACAATCATTATGATATCTAAAACCTAAAACTAAAAATTCAACTTACTTTCGCAACCCTGGTCGGTTTAAAATTGATATACGCTTGTCTCGTATACTTGCTGCCAAAGCCCATTCGATTTTGAAGCCATCTTTGCATAATTTGATGGTTGCGGGAAACAATTGTTTCCATGGTAACTTTCCATAGCGATCATGCATTGCCTTATAGCAGGCGATTTGTCCGGGAACCCCAATGTTTATACCAGTGTCACTTGCGCTACCTGCAGTATTAACATGTAACATTAACATCGCGTAGTATTATGACATCAAAGTGACTCTGAGTTACCATGGCGACTCAATGACGTAGTAGAGATATTACTTACTCGGAATCCTTATTCTGCACCCACCCTCAGGAGTTTGGTACTTTTTAAATAATGTGTAGTAAGCTGTAGAAGGCGTCTCTGGTCTACACGACAAAGAAAATGCCTTTTTCCGTTTACTGAAAATAAGCCATAATATGCTCGAATTTTTTTCTCTGCACTGTTTTGCTCAAAAATATTTGCTCAAACAGATCATTTTCAAATTGAACGCTTTGTACTTATTGCACAGTCATTGTAAATTGGAAGCAAAAACAAAAACATTAAGCATACACTCCCCTCCACAATATTGGCAGTCAGAACTCTAAATTGAATACCATATCAAAAGTCAAAATTTAGAACTTCATTTCGTTCCTTAGTTACAGTACTTCGAAAATTCATGACTTTGACGAGACTTGTTAATCACCAAACAAAAACAAGCTTTAATAGGTAATTCGAAAGGGGACTGCCAACGATTCAGGTAGGTTATTGCACACAATTTCAGACGTTTATACCTCGAATTATGACTATTTTCAGACCATAAAGACAGGTTTATCCTGTAGATCTATTCATTATCTCAAAGAAAAGTATATACAATGAAAATAAAGTCAATCAGACACAGAGATATTTAGCTAGCAATCAACCAATTAAAAAACTTTTTTTTAAATGTTGACATCATTTTAACCAAAAATACAATCATTTTTTACAACGTTTGATGCATTAATATTCTTTATTTTGATGTATCGAATATTTATTGGAAGGAAAATTGTATTCCTCTAGGATTAGTGTTCCACATGTTATTTTCTCATTGACAAAAACTCATGCTATTCATTGGTTTCAGCTCATTTTTGTCATCCAAATTCAGTATCTTTAAAGTCCCTTGAGGAATCCACTTTTCCTTTTAGGAAATCGAACATGTCCCAAAGCACATTCTAATTATGCATTCAGCAATATAATAAAATGGTGCAAAATAGGTCAACATTTTTGAAAAAGTATGTTGATTGGTTCCATTGGCTCTTTAATATCTCTTAGTCTGATCGACTTAATTATCAATATGAACAGTTTTCTTGGAGATGATGATTGAGTTTTAAAGGTACACCCGTTTTCATGATCAGAAAATATTCATAATTCAAGTTAGAATCGTCTGAAATTGTTTGCAATAGTATACGTGCTCCTTTATGTTATTAAAATGATTGTTAGATGTGACGCAACTAACCTGTCGTAAATTGCCACTACAGCCCCACCCCCTATCCCCGTGCTCTGTGGATTGACTACCCCAAGACAAAGTGACGTCGCAATCGCCGCGTCAACTGAAGAGCCACCATCTTGTTTTAAAATGTTTCTGAAAGTATACCATAATGAATCGAAATAATTCATATTCGAACATGACTGTATTCATGCCTTCTATAAACTGTGAACAAAGTCAATGCTTCAGCTGGGTTATATTCGGGATCAATGCCCCAGCTCTGTACTAGTGTTTCATTCAGTGCACTCAATGGTCAGTTCAGGCTGTTCCGTTTATATGGATATCTGGGCAATACAGAATTAATTTCAATAATTATCAATGTAGTTGATATGCGTGAAACCAATAAAATAGGCCGAAATGTCAATAAAAAAGTCGGGGTCAGGAGGCAAGTAAACAAATTGGAACAGCCAAACGCTCAACCGGAAGTAGAAATGAAAAACGTGAAATGGACATCGAAATTGACGATTTTGCAATATATTGGTGAGTTTTCATGTTTGAATCGTAATATAGACCTCAGAGCAGGGCTACTAGTTTCGGATACACCCCTTGGGTCAAGGCACAGAAGCTTTCGAACCCCTCACTCCCTTCGGTCGTTCGGGGTACAGAAAACGTTTGTGCCAAGACCTGTGGGGTGTATTCGAAACTAGTAGCTCTGCTCTTCGGTCTATATTTCTTAAGTATAGATAATCCGAGATCCCACTGTAACTAGCTGAAAGCCAAGGGATATTTGGTTCATACTGTACTGAAGTCATTACAATTTTATTCATTGTCAATAATTAAATGTATTCTTACGTTCCGATGGTTGAGCAGATGTGGTGGTCAGAAGCAACAGCTGCTCTGCTGTACTTTCCAGTAGGCGTGTCCGTCAAAGGAGGTTCGTTGATCCCATCACCTGGTCCTGCGCGATAAATTCCTCTCTCTTGTTTAGTCGTTTCCTAAAGACGAATTCCATTTTACTTTAAAACTTATTTTAGCTAATATTTTGAACACGCTATTTTTGGATATGTATTTCTTATAGTTGAAAATATATTTAGAAACACTACTTTGAAATATATTTGGTATTTTTACAATGAGAATGCATTAGGCTACAAACACATCTGCTTGGCAGTGGAATTATTTTGAAACACCTTATGTTTTGATTGGTGATGATGTATTTTTCAAACACAATGAGTATTTTTGATTTTAAAGTTGTATTTTATACACACTATTTTGGGCTACTTTGGTCGAGGAAAATGTATTTTAAATCACTGTGTTCGGGTAACTCGGATGATTCAAAAATGTATTTTGAAAACTATTTTGGCGTATTTTTGATGGCCAGAAAATATATTTCAAACAAACTACAAGCACTTTACATTTGAAAATCTCTTTTTACCAATTATGAATAAAATGGACAGCAAACTCTTTACATTTGAAAATCTCTTTTTTACCAATTATGAATAAAATGGACAGCAAAAACTTTACATTTGAAAATCTCTTTTTACCAATTATGAATAAATTGGACAGCAAACTCTTTACATTTGAAAATCTCTTTTTTACCCATTATGAATAAAATGGACAGCAAGCACTTTACATTTAAAAATCTCTTTTTTACCAATTATGAATAAAATGGACAGCAAGCACTTTACATTTAAAAATCTCTTTTTTACCAATTATGAATAAAATGGACAGCAAACACTTTACATTTGAAAATCTCTTTTTACCAATTATGAATAAAATGGACAGCAAACACTTTACATTTGAAAATCTCTTTTTTACCAATTATAAATAAAATGGACAGCAAGCACTTTACATTTAAAAATCTCTTTTTTACCAATTATGAATAAAATGGACAGCAAACACTTTACATTTGAAAATCTCTTTTTACCAATTATGAATAAAATGGACAGCAAACACTTAACATTTAAAAATCTCTTTTTTACCAATTATGAATAAAATGGACAGCAAACACTTTAGATTTGAAAATCTCTTTTTTACCAATTATGAATAAAATGGACAGCAAGCACTTTACATTTGAAAATCTCTTTTTTACCAATTATGAATAAAATGGACAGCAAACACTTTACATTTGAAAATCTCTTTTTTACCAATTATGAATAAAATGGACAGCAAGCACTTTACATTTGAAAATCTCTTTTTTACCAATTATGAATAAAATGGACAGCAAACACTTTACATTTAAAAATCTCTTTTTTACCAATTATGAATAAAATGGACAGCAAACACTTTACATTTGAAAATCTCTTTTTTACCAATTATGAATAAAATGGACAGCAAACACTTTACATTTGAAAATCTCTTTTTTACCAATTATGAATAAAATGGACAGCAAGCACTTTACATTTGAAAATCTCTTTTTATCAATTATGAATAAAATGGACAGCAAGCACTTTACATTTGAAAATCTCTTTTTTACCAATTATGAATAAAATGGACAGCAAGCACTTTACATTTGAAAATCTCTTTTTATCAATTATGAATAAAATGGACAGCAAACACTTTACATTTGAAAATCTCTTTTTTACCAATTATGAATAAAATGGACAGCAAGCACTTTACATTTAAAAATCTCTTTTTTACCAATTATGAATAAAATGGACAGCAAACACTTTATATTTGAAAATCTCTTTTTTACCAATTATGAATAAAATGGACAGCAAGCACTTTACATTTGACAATCTCTTTTTTACCAATTATGAATAAAATGGACAGCAAACACTTTACATTTTAAAATCTCCTTTTTACCAATTATGAATAAAATGGACAGCAAGCACTTTACATTTGAAAATCTCTTTTTACCAATTATGAATAAAATGGACAGCAATTAAAAATCTCTTTTTTACCAATTATGAATAAAATGGACAGCAAGCACTTTACATTTGAAAATCTCTTTTTACCAATTATGAATAAAATGGACAGCAAGCACTTTACACTTGAAAAGCTCTTTTTAAAATTATGAATAAAATGGACAGCAAGCACTTTACATTTGAAAATCTCTTTTTACCAATTATGAATAAAATGGACAGCAAACACTTTACATTTGAAAATCTCTTTTTTACCAATTATGAATAAAATGGACAGCAAGCACTTTACATTTGAAAATCTCTTTTTACCAATTATGAATAAAATGGACAGCAATTAAAAATCTCTTTTTTACCAATTATGAATAAAATGGACAGCAAACACTTTACATTTAAAAATCTCTTTTTAACCAATTATGAATAAAATGGACAGCAAACCCTTTACATTTGAAAAGCTCTTTTTACAAATTATGAATAAAATGGACAGCAAACCCTTTACATTTGAAAATCTCTTTTTTACCAATTATGAATAAAATGGACAGCAAGCACTTTACATTTGAAAATCTCTTTTTACCAATTATGAATAAAATGGACAGCAAACACTTTACATTTGAAAATCTCTTTTTTACCAATTATGAATAAAATGGACAGCAATTAAAAATCTCTTTTTTACCAATTATGAATAAAATGGACAGCAAGCACTTTACATTTGAAAATCTCTTTTTTACCAATTATGAATAAAATGGACAGCAAACCCTTTACATTTAAAAATCTCTTTTTTACCAATTATGAATAAAATGGACAGCAAACACTTTACATTTGAAAATCTCTTTTTTACCAATTATGAATAAAATGGACAGCAAGCACTTTACATTTAAAAATCTCTTTTTTACCAATTATGAATAAAATGGAAAGCAAACACTTTACATTTGAAAATCTCTTTTTTACCAATTATGAATAAAATGGACAGCAAGCACTTTACATTTGAAAATCTCTTTTTACCAATTATGAATAAAATGGACAGCAATTAAAAATCTCTTTTTTACCAATTATGAATAAAATGGACAGCAAACCCTTTACATTTGAAAATCTCTTTTTTTACCAATTATGAATAAAATGGACAGCAAGCACTTTACATTTGAAAATCTCTTTTTACCAATTATGAATAAAATGGACAGCAAGCACTTTACATTTGAAAATCTCTTTTTACCAATTATGAATAAAATGGACAGCAAGCACTTTACATTTGAAAATCTCTTTTTTACCAATTATGAATAAAATGGACAGCAACCCCTTTACATTTGAAAATCTCTTTTTTACCAATTATGAATAAAATGGACAGCAAGCACTTTACATTTGAAAATCTCTTTTTACCAATTATGAATAAAATGGACAGCAATTAAAAATCTCTTTTTTACCAATTATGAATAAAATGGACAGCAAGCACTTTAAATTTGAAAATCTCTTTTTTACCAATTATGAATAAAATGGACAGCAACCCCTTTACATTTGAAAATCTCTTTTTTACCAATTATGAATAAAATGGACAGCAAGCACTTTACATTTGAAAATCTCTTTTTACCAATTATGAATAAAATGGACAGCAATTAAAAATCTCTTTTTTACAAATTATGAATAAAATGGACAGCAAACACTTTACATTTGAAAATCTCTTTTTACCAATTATGAATAAAATGGACAGCAATTAAAAATCTCTTTTTTACCAATTATGAATAAAATGGACAGCAAACCCTTTACATTTGAAAATCTCTTTTTTACCAATTATGAATAAAATGGACAGCAAACACTTTACATTTGAAAATCTCTTTTTTACCAATTATGAATAAAATGGACAGCAATTAAAAATCTCTTTTTTACCAATTATGAATGAAATGGACAGCAAACACTTTACATTTGAAAATCTCTTTTTACCAATTATGAATAAAATGGACAGCAAACACTTTACATTTGAAAATCTCTTTTTACCAATTATGAATAAAATGGACAGCAAACACTTTACATTTGAAAATCTCTTTTTTACAAATTATGAATAAAATGGACAGCAAACCCTTTACATTTGAAAATCTCTTTTTTACCAATTATGAATAAAATGGACAGCAAGCACTTTACATTTGAAAATCTCTTTTTACCAATTATGAATAAAATGGACAGCAATTAAAAATCTCTTTTTTACCAATTATGAATAAAATGGACAGCAAACACTTTACATTTAAAAATCTCTTTTTTACCAATTATGAATAAAATGGACAGCAAGCACTTTACATTTGAAAATCTCTTTTTACCAATTATGAATAAAATGGACAGCAAACCCTTTACATTTGAAAATCTCTTTTTACCAATTATGAATAAAATGGACAGCAAACACTTTACATTTGAAAATCTCTTTTTACCAATTATGAATAAAATGGACAGCAAGCACTTTACATTTGAAAATCTCTTTTTTACCAATTATGAATAAAATGGACAGCAAACCCTTTACATTTGAAAATCCCGTTTTTACCAATTATGAATAAAATGGACAGCAAGCACTTTACATTTGAAAATCTCTTTTTTACAAATTATGAATAAAATGGACAGCAAACCCTTTACATTTAAAAATCTCTTTTTTACCAATTATGAATAAAATGGACAGCAAACACTTTACATTTGAAAATCTCTTTTTACCAATTATGAATAAAATGGACAGCAAGCACTTTACATTTGAAAATCTCTTTTTTACCAATTATGAATAAAATGGACAGCAAACCCTTTACATTTGAAAATCCCGTTTTTACCAATTATGAATAAAATGGACAGCAAACACTTTACATTTAAAAATCTCTTTTTACCAATTATGAATAAAATGGACAGCAAACACTTTACATTTAAAAATCTCTTTTTTACCAATTATGAATAAAATGGACAGCAAACACTTTACATTTGAAAATCTCTTTTTTACCAATTATGAATAAAATGGACAGCAAACACTTTACATTTAAAAATCTCTTTTTTACCAATTATGAATAAAATGGACAGCAAGCACTTTACATTTGAAAATCTCTTTTTTACCAATTATGAATAAAATGGACAGCAAACCCTTTACATTTGAAAATCCCGTTTTTACCAATTATGAATAAAATGGACAGCAAACACTTTACATTTAAAAATCTCTTTTTACCAATTATGAATAAAATGGACAGCAAACACTTTACATTTAAAAATCTCTTTTTTACCAATTATGAATAAAATGGACAGCAAGCACTTTACATTTGAGAATCTCTTTTTACCAATTATGAATAAAATGAACAGCAAACACTTTACATTTAAAAATCTCTTTTTACCAATTATGAATAAAATGGACAGCAAGCACTTTACATTTGAAAATCTCTTTTTTACCAATTATGAATAAAATGGACAGCAAACACTTTACATTTGAAAATCTCTTTTTACCAATTATGAATAAAATGGACAGCAAGCACTTTACATTTGAAAATCTCTTTTTTACCAATTATGAATAAAATGGACAGCAAACCCTTTACATTTGAAAATCCCGTTTTTACCAATTATGAATAAAATGGACAGCAAACACTTTACATTTAAAAATCTCTTTTTACCAATTATGAATAAAATGGACAGCAAACACTTTATATTTAAAAATCTCTTTTTTACCAATTATGAATAAAATGGACAGCAAGCACTTTACATTTGAAAATCTCTTTTTTATCAATTATGAATAAAATGGACAGCAAGCACTTTACATTTGAAAATCTCTTTTTACCAATTATGAATAAAATGGACAGCAAGCACTTTACATTTGAAAATCTCTTTTTTACCAATTATGAATAAAATGGACAGCAAACCCTTTACATTTGAAAATCCCGTTTTTACCAATTATGAATAAAATGGACAGCAAGCACTTTACATTTAAAAATCTCTTTTTACCAATTATGAATAAAATGGACAGCAAACACTTTATATTTAAAAATCTCTTTTTACCAATTATGAATAAAATGGACAGCAAACACTTTATATTTAAAAATCTCTTTTTTACCAATTATGAATAAAATGGACAGCAAACACTTTACATTTGAAAATCTCTTTTTTACCAATTATGAATAAAATGGACAGCAAACACTTTACATTTGAAAATCTCTTTTTTACCAATTATGAATAAAATGGACAGCAAGCACTTTACATTTGAAAATCTCTTTTTTATCAATTATGAATAAAATGGACAGCAAACACTTTACATTTGAAAATCTCTTTTTTACCAATTATGAATAAAATGGACAGCAAGCACTTTACATTTGAAAATCTCTTTTTTACCAATTATGAATAAAATGGACAGCAAGCACTTTACATTTGAAAATCTCTTTTTTACCAATTATGAATAAAATGGACAGCAAACACTTTACATTTAAAAATCTCTTTTTTACCAATTATGAATAAAATGGACAGCAAACACTTTACATTTGAAAAGCTCTTTTTACCAATTATGAATAAAATGGACAGCAAACACTTTACATTTGAAAATCTCTTTTTTACCAATTATGAATAAAATGGACAGCAAACACTTTACATTTAAAAATCTCTTTTTACCAATTATGAATAAAATGGACAGCAAACACTTTACATTTGAAAATCTCTTTTTACCAATTATGAATAAAATGGACAGCAAACACTTTACATTTGAAAATCTCTTTTTTACCAATTATGAATAAAATGGACAGCAAGCACTTTACATTTGAAAATCTCTTTTTACCAATTATGAATAAAATGGACAGCAATTAAAAATCTCTTTTTTACCAATTATGAATAAAATGCCACTTTACCTCAAAGCTACCGTTCGTAAATATCTCATCATCCAAACTCCCAGGTGAATCGCATTTTGTCGTCGATTGAAGATTGGAGGATACGAGGAATAACGTCACAGATGTGATATACGCGAAGCATAGACACTTTAGTACGTATGGGATCCACCCTCTGAAACTAAATTTAATACGAATGGCTTATCATAAATTGAATGAATTACAATGGGTTCCGTTTTCCCTACCTTTATTATGGTATTGGTAATCATTTTTTATACATTTGTGATACTTTCGGAAGTATATCTCAGAAATCGCACGTAATAATAAACGTACTCATCTGATCGAGGCTTCTCATAAATTGAATGATATACACACAAACTATGAGTTCCGTTTTTACCTACCTTTATTATGGTATTGGTAATCATGGTTTATCCATTTGTGATACTTTCGGAAGTATATCTCAGAAATTGCACGTATTAATAAACGTACTCATCTGATCCATGTTTCATATTTTATGTTATAAAGTCTTCAAAAAGCCCGTCAAAATGTCGCATTTTTCGGGAGTTTTGCAATACAATACAATACACTCCCACAAGTTTCGAGCAGAAAGTCTACTTTACCTTTTGCTTTGGGTGATGTGTTGCAAACTCCATGCCCAACTATTGTTCTTATGACATTCTCCTGGACCATTGTATTTGGTACGTTCCGTAAGTGACCTCACCATGCAGGATCTAATCAAAACATTGCTTATTATTTCTTAAAACAGCTTTAATGGTGTTTTCATGATCAGACAAATATCGAAGTTTGCTATGGAAACTCAGACAACATAACAAAGTACGTATCAATCCCGTTTTATGAGTACACTCTGTGAAGAAAAATGTGCATGGTCCTTTATTTCTTATAAACATGGTCCTTTATCGGTCATAACATTTTCAAAATTTTGTATAATATTGCAAAACTCTTGTGACTAACTGGTTGAATTTTTGAAAAAGTAGATGAATATTTAACAAAAATTGGCAATGGTTAAAAACATTGTCTCACAAACTCATTAATGTTACTTTTTTTAAAATAACATTATAAATTACAATTTGCTATTGTAATACATTTTCATCTAAGCCTATGACTAATTCCCCTCTGATATTATTGTTAAGCCCGCCCCAAACTGGTCATAATTGACAATAATGAACAATGACAAACTGTCAGAAAGTTATGGAAGTGTCAAAACCCGTCTTAACCATGATTTGTAGACAATTTTACGCCTTAAAAGTTGAAACTAGGGATAATAAAATGGGATATGATTGGTAAGGGACAATGGACCATTTTCTTTACAGAGGTTATAATTCATACTTCTTTATTATGTCCATATGTTTTGTATCCTCCAACACATACTCAACATATAATATTCAACTTACTAACAAACTATATAAAATTATGAATCTTATTAACAATCACTTATACTACATTAGGATTAGTTCCATTTCTGAAAAAAATGTTTGAAATCATTTATGTGCATTGCTGAAATCTAAACGTTCGGAGGATACAAAATATTGGACAACAAGACCTCAATCCACAACGAAAATAACGAGGATTGTCAAATTAAATATCGAGAGTGTATCAAGGAACAATATACGAGATTATATAAATCTATATAATGAAATAATCCAAAATAAACATGTTTCTTTATTTAAAAATCTTCAGGAATAACAGTAAAATACATTAAATATATATACGAGTCATTAAAAATATGTGTATTGTATGTACTCAATTGAAAAAAGAAGAATAAAAAAATATACGAGAATAGTATTTTATGTTTGCCTATTAAAACATGTATTTCCGAACATTACACAATTTTAACACTCTACCTTCTCCTTGGTGTCATAATAGAACCCCATTGCCATATCTTGTGAGGTTGCACTTCTCTAGACATTTTGTCTTCAGTTCTTGCCGTCGGAGATGTCATCTTAAAATGGCTTACTCATAAATATTAAATACGAGATATGAAATAAGATATACTATACATCCGGATAATCTGCATACGAGTATATTTACGAATTTTAAAAGCGACTTTCAACAGGTGGTTTACAACTATTATCCACTTAAAGTTTGAATAGGATAAGACATATATGTTGGTTAATTAATATATCGAATGAGGGATGCAGGAATTTAAGTGAGTTATTCAATTTTAATTACTTCGCAGGTGCTTGACCTGTATGTTATACAATGTCATTTAATTGTAAAGCGTATGCACAGTTCATAAGAAAACCGATGAATGTCTTGAAGCTAAACCTTCGGAAAGGCCACGTACGCCAGTCGCCCACGTAAATTATCGCAAACAATTTCAAAGGGTTATATTTTAGACATGTGTTTTAATATTTGTATATTTATACGATAATAAACGCAATATCAACAGTATTCTGAAAAACTGAAGTATAGGCAAAAACATTTAATTGTAGGCTAGATCTAGAATTCAATGATTTTCCGAATAGATTGCAGTTTATCTCGAGAGCAGATCAAACTATCTTTTTCTAATAAAACATTACATTAATATATTACTTATCATGTTTATTGACACAGCTAGCTACATAATGTTGTTCAAGTAATAAGTAAATTTGCCATATATAAAATGTATGACGTAAATAAATGTCAAAGTAGCGTAGAAATATCCTTCTTGAAATAGTACATTAAGCTTACATGTAATGATTGAGAATCGAGATCACAAATTATCCAATATTTTGAAATTAAAACTTCTAATCTGTGATCATTTATATTCATCATTTGAAGTATTGTACTTTATTGCGATAATACAAGAAAATGAGAAAAACAATTAGAAATTTACACTCTGTCCAAAAGTTTGGAATATTTTTCCTTGGTTAAAGAAAATACAGAATGAAATCCTGTGCTAAGGGCTAATGTGAAAAAGTCTGTAAAATGGTACTTGCGTTTGAATTTCTATTCAAAAATCAATATTGGGTTTATTTTTAAAATAATGATATAAATGATTATCATCGACTTCATATTCATTTCCTCATAGTTTTCAATCATTTTGGGGGCGAAAATAATTTTCAAGATCGACTGCGATACAGTGTATTTTTTATTTCACGAAACAATCCAAAAACATAGTGTACAAACAAAAGGCAATTCCATTCCCTAAGTAAAATAACCTTTTCTTATTGATAAGACAAAACCATCGCTTCATTATTCGGCGATTTTAGAACCCAAATCAAACGTTTCTACAAAGTCGGACATTTTGTAAGGGAGGAAAAATTCAAAAATTCAAGGAGGGATTTTCAGAGTAACTACAGGGTGGGCCAAAAAAAACCACCCCCTAGCCATTATTCCTGATAAATATTTATTTTTTAACATGTACACCAACAATGATATATCATTTTAAAGATAACTTAATTTGCAACAAAATGATATATAATAGCACCATTTTCAAGAATCCTGGCTCGAGATATAACCATTAATGTGACATGGGGGTCAAAAAACACCTTTTCAATTTTCATCGATTTTGCGAACAATAGCCTATTTCTACCAAATTTTACTGTTCAGTTAAAAATTGCAACATTGTCATGAGTCTTTCATAATTGGATATTATATATTGTTTTCATTCAGTTTTGGAATCATGCATGCCCAATAAACATGTGTATGCTTATAAAACAAATTAATTTTTTCTTTAATCTGTCCTAATATGGCTCAATAGACCCACCCCCTGACTCATCCCCTGATCGGACTCTTCGCTAAAGACGCGGAAGCCAGTGGTTGATGGCATAATTGATGGATGTATGAGGAAGTACCATTCAACTGCTAATTATTCTTTCTTTTAGTTCCTCTACATCCCTGATAGGCTGGGTGTCTTTAAATACCAACTGTTGTAGATGCCCCCAGGTATGGTAATCAACATTATTTGCATCTGGACTGTCAGTAAGCCATTTGTCCGGGCTAGAGATGGTGTCATTTCGAATCTCCAAAAACTCCAGGGTAGCATTGGATCTGTGTGATGAAGGGCTTTCCTATCAGAAAATGAAATTTCTTTCACATGTTTTTTATATCCTTGAGGAGTCCTTTTGTAACACCTCATGTCATAACATTCAGAGTATATTTTTGCTCCTGGTTCAACAACAACAGGGCCTGTACGGTCTTTCCTTTTTGGGAAACACCAAGTGACACCACTACCCTTTCAGAAAAATTTCATCTCGATTTGAGTAGCCTTTAATCGAAATTGTCCCTATTTTTGCTTACTGATATATAGTCTATCCTGTTGATTACATGTAAAGCACTTGGGGCATTTAGAACAGTTGATCTATGAAGATCACTAGCCTATCAGGGATGTAAACAAACTGAAAGAATGAATAATTAGGAGTTTGATGGTACTTCCGCAGAGATTCATCAATCATACCAATGGCTTTCACGTCTTTAGCGAATAGTCCGATCAGAGGATTGGTCCGGGGGTGGGTCTATTGAGCCATATTTGGACAGACTAAAGAAGAAATTAATTTGTTTTATAAGCATACATATGTTTATTGAGCATGCATAATTCAAAAACTGAATGAAAACAATATATAATATCCAATTATGAAAGACTCATGACAATGTTGCAATTCTTAACTGAACAGTAAAATTTGGTAGAAATAGGCTGTTGTTCGCAAAATCGATGAAAATTGAAAAGGTGTTTTTTGACCCCCATGTCACATAAATGGTTGTATCTCGAGCCAGGGTTGTTGAAAATTGTTCTATTATATATCATTTTGTTGCAAATTACATTATCTTTAAAATGATATATCATTGTTGGTGTACATGTTGAAAAATGAATATTTATCAGGAATAATGGCTAGGGGGGTGGTTTTTTTGGCCCACCCTGTAGAGATGAGATCAATTTATAAAATGATTTACCCCAATTAACGCGCGGTGCAATGAACTTTTGAATGGGAGTGTAAAAAAGCTAACGTATAAGATGATGAAGAGTTTATCTACACGCGTCTGTTTGACTCACTGTTTATTTTGTAACTAGAATAGCAATAATATAGATTTTAATATGCGCAAAGGCTAAGTATTGTGGCTAGGCATGTATGTACACTCCCCTCGTAAGTATGGCAACTGGAAATCCTATCCTGAATAATGTGTAAAGGTCTTTTTTTGTTTGGAGAATGGGACAAGTTTGTCAAAGTCATAAATGTCCGGTCAATTGAGGAGTTGAGGAACAAATTTATGATTCGAACATGAACACATTTCACAACTTTATTCAGTTGGGACTTTCGATTGTCAAACTTATTTCACTGGTTGTAAACTGGTGTTAAATCATTACCAGTTTATATCGATTATTTACTTATTGAGCAAGGAGGATTGGGTCCCAGGATCGACAATCGATATTTTCCAACAATGAAAACGTCGAAATGTCGTTATTTTCGGAAATTATTACCGACTATAAGTTCAAAATAAACAGTCCAAAAGATTCGAACCAATATCTCGATCATTTCTTATGAGTTTTGGAATTTTCCGGTTAGGAATAAGACCGAAATTCACCATTCAAATGTTGAAGTGAACAAAATGGCGGCTGTTTGAATTCAAATTTTGAATCACGACATTTCCATATATGGGACAGAATATCGATGTTGCACTCTGGGAGCCAATCCTCCTTGCTTTCATTGTGCGGGTATTAACTGTGGTGTTAAATCATTACCGGTTAATATCGATTATTTACTGCTTGGATGACTTCGAATATGTCTTTCTTCCTAAGTACATGTAAGTATATTTTACATAATTAAATAAATTAGATAATAAACATTGGTGTTTTTAGGTAGTCATATAAACATTGCCTTTTATTATGATTTAATAGTTAATCATGAAGTGTAAAGAGGAGGTTAAAGAAAACATGTGCGATATAAATAGCAAATCAATGGAACAGCAAAAATCACAGAATTTTTAGATATTTTCACAAAGCTGGTCAATTTCCTCTAAATTTATATTGATTGAGAAAATGTATAGCTTCCAATTTCGCTATCTGTATCCTTCAATGTTTTAACATTAATTTATTGGGGTGTGATAGGACATTTAAAAATAGTAATACTATTTTCAAAATTAAAAGTCCTCAAACTTTGCCAATCAAAAATGTGTATTAGCATTCTAAACTTACGTATCCTGACTTTCTGTACCATGTTAAAGTATAAATATATTCTGATATTTTAATAAGAGTTGCCAGGAAGTTTGAAATCTCCCTTTAAAGAATATTTTCTACCATTTTGCATTTTTGTTTTTTTCTTTTTATATCCTCCATGTTCGCCATGCAGAAAAGTTGATTATTCATCTCAACACATGGTTCCGCTATGACAAGGACAACATACGTCATTTGCGTCATTTACGTCTTCGGTCTGCTTGGAGTAATAACTCATCATGGAGTTGGTCAAGGCATTGGAGATGTGGTTCTTATAAGATATCAATCGGCCAATGACTCGATGAGCGAACTGAGTGTCTCCAAACTATATCGACAACTCAAGCGTGGTTCAAAACGTACAGAACAATGTTTGAAAGAAAACATATTACTGAAGGATAGAGTGGAATTGTTGGAATCCAAAAAAGCATTTGACCGAGTTTTGAATTTTTCCAAAGATTTATCTCAAGGATTCCCATTTCGCTCTGCGAATAAGTATATACAAAAGATTATGACATTAAATATGGAACATTCATCTATAACGAACAGGGAAGATAAGAAGAATATTGTCGCATTAATCGTCGCTATACAGAGGGGCTTTATAAAGAACACGATACGACAACAGCTTGATAAATTGGCAGCACTTAAAACGATATTGCATAAATACAACAATGATATGCTCGCTCAACGGTATGCTCTAATTACAGAGACCTTAAGAGACAAATATGTATACGTGGAAAAAATTCTCAGCAATGTTCAAGTGCCAGGTATAATTTTCTAGTACAATTCCTGGATATTGTCTTTAAATTGTATAACATTTTCAAAAGGGCCTTAGTTAAGCAGTTTAATGTCCCGTTTAAGAATCCCTACTCTAACCATTGAAAATGGATTCTAGCAATATAATCCAACATGAATGTTTTTGTTGAAATTCAATCAACTTGAGTACTTGTGAGGATAATGGTCCCCCTTCTAGATGCCCTTTCTGGCCCTGATTGTGTATAAGATAATAAGGGAAAGAGGTTACCATACAAATCAATGGAGAGTAGGACCATAAATTAATAGGTCCACATACCCGTTTACACCTGTGTTATTAGTCATCAGTCAATGATGTATATCCCCATGTTAAGTCAAGGCACCCTTGCCGAAATCCTCATTTTCTCAGAAGAACTCAAGTTGAACGAATGTCAACAAGCAAACTCATGTTAGGTAGTATAGCTAGTATCTATTTTCAAAATTTAGAATAGGGCTTCTGAAACAGACATTGGGCTTACTTTTTAGAACTTTTTATATACCTCATTTACTTGATTATAATCATGTCCTGATGGTATTGATTAATGCTATGATTTTATACGTTTTACCTACTATTAGATGATAAGTTAATGAAAACGGAATCCAGTGCTAGGGCTGATGTGAAAAAATCAGTCCACCCCAGTGGGAATCGAACCCACGACCCCTCGCATACATGGTTTGATGGTATTGATTACTAGTAATGCGTTGATCTTGTACTTTTACATACTACTAGATGGTAAACTATCTTGGAAAATGTGGAGTGCCTGGAGCAGATGTCCCGGTATCATGGCAGGCTGCTCATCAAGGGAACGTCGTAAAATGTGCATGGATGATAGCGCAATCGTGCAGCCCAACGACAAATGTTTCGGAAAACAGCCTGTTAAAGTGCGAAAATGTAAATGTGTAGAGAATTACAACAGCCAGGGCAGTGCCGATTCTAATGTTACGCCTTACGCTTGTATGGCCTCTATTTCAAAAAGCGTTCGCTATTTCCATGGTGACAATGACGGCCATTTTTGCAGCGGTGTTATACTTTCTGATATGTGGATATTAACAGCAGCACATTGTGCTTGTTACCATGGTTATTGTTGTTCCGCTGACCTAGATTTTTTGTAAGTTTGATTTTTTACGTCCATCTGGAAATCTCTCGCAAAAGGAGAATAACTCGAAGGCAACTGCATTTACAAACTGTCTTAAAAATGTCAATAAACTGTCTTTTTAAAAGCCATTTTGTAAATTCAAACAGCGTGATTTATAAAAGCCAGTTTTGGTGGTTAGTTGCGCGGATATAGCGAGCGAGACTTGTGAAACTTAGTCTTTATGGTAGGATAAGAAATCTCCAAGTTAATGTAAGACGCTGGAATCCACAGAAACCGACTTTAAAGAATCGGCTTTCTATATTTGCCATTTCTCGATCTGACAACTTCGCAAAATACAATACATCACTCTGATAAAAATAGATCAGATTCATTCCATTTGTTTTCTTTTATTGCAATAAAGATACTCGAAATGTGACCTTGAACACTGGACTGTGACCACTGGCTTACTTAAACCATATAAAGGCAAGAAGAAAGAAAACCAAATAAGGAAAATTGCTGATGTTATAATCCATAAGAATTACGTCAAAGATTCCTCCGGACTTCCGCTGAGAAATGACATAGCCTTATTTAAGCTTGACGCTCCATTGGACTTCAAAAAGCCGAATGTTCGTCCATGCAAACTTCCAATTGAAATATGCAGGGATTCTATAGAAAGGAATTGTGTTAGGCATAGTGAATTGCACCGATGGCATTGCGAAATAGCAGGCTGGGGGCGATATTCCGCGTGTAAGTATTGCGCAAATGTACATTCTATTTGCGCCAGGAACTAACACGTTTTTGCCATTAACAATTGTTGAGTATCACAAAAATGTGTCTGTTATTTTAATCACACAAATTGTTCCTATTCGTCACAAAAACGAAGAATTCTACTTTCAAATTGTTGTGACTGACAAGGTGGAGTTAAGATTGCTCGAATCATTGAGATTCTTAAAATCATTGTTAACCATTCCTTTTATTTTAATAGCATCGTCCGTACCTTCTGTGTTGAGAGCTCTAGACGTCGTTTCAATCGATGAGTATGGAAAAAGCCTCGCCATTAACCAGAATGTTGCCTTCACTGAAACGAATAACGGTGCTGGGAGGTCATGCCAAGTAAGTTTTTTTATTTACTTTTTTATTTAAGAGAAAACTGTATTGATGTAATTACAATACAGTAACATAGAAAAGTTACAATACTGTTTTTTTCACACTGAACAATGAGCACGTTTATCATATGTCTCTGGTTTATCCCAGACCAAGGCCTGGTAAATGGGGAAAATTAACAGAGAGAGAGAGAGGGGGGGGGGGGGTAACCGATTCCAACATATCGAGATTTTAGCGTCATTTTACCATGTGCTTTCCAACTTAAGCGGGTATAAAGACTGTGGAGAGAAAAATTGATAAATTTTACCTTTTCTGAGCTATCGGGGCGAAGTTTGGTCTAACATCTTTTTCCTTATTCCTATTTTATAAAAATGTATGCATATAATAATCATCAACCTATAGAACTAATAAATCGTTTAGAATCTACAATTCTATACAAGGTGTCCCACTCATGGTTTTTTCAAATTCTTTCCAAGTCGACGTCGAAACACCTAGCGGGTGAAATTGAAACTAATTTTTCTTGCTGCTCGAATCGATAGAATTTCTGATAGTGTGAGTCTTTTTATGAAAATGTTTCTTAGAGAAATCACTTGACGATTATTAGAAATCATTAAAAGTTGAATCCAAAGCGTAATCTGAAATAAAAGTGAAAAAACATTGGGCGGACGTTAGAGAACAAACTTCCGGTTTAATAAAAAATGGCGGAGACGAAGGAGCAGAAGCAGACGAAGGATTAATGGATTTTCTTTTGCCATTATCGATCGATATAAGGTTTGTGCACAAATTCTAGTTGCATACATGGAAAATAGATACATTTTTAAAGGCTATAACATATTCAAAGCTTTCATTTTACGATAGGCCCAGTATCACTGGATACGACTCGACAGCCTTTATACCATGGGCTTAAAGCCCATGTTTATACCCACTTTAATGTTATTGTCACGTGATTCTGTTGATCTAATAGCGCAGTTAATGCCGTGGTCACATATGCTCCGATTTTCAGCACCGGCGATTTTGAACGCAATACTCAATCGGCCGGACGCCGTAGTAAAAATCGGAGCAAATGTGACCACGGCATAGCCGAGCACTTTTACGTACGATCGTCAAACGAGTGGCGCCTAATTGAAATGACGTCATAAGTTACCATATCCTACATATAATGATGTATTTGAAAATGATGTCGTATTTTTAAAACGACTATTGAGTTCAAAGGAGGAGGGAAGTTAGCGCAACAGATTTTGGACAGTCATATGTTGGATTTCGGCCATTTCCTGGGGATTTAAACAGGTGCATATGTTAGGTGAATGTTTTACCTCCAGGAAAATCACTTCTAGAGATGATAAAATAATTTTGACTTTGAGACAGGGTAGATGCAAACAACCCACCCACATGTTTTTTCTGAAATGTTTTCCTGATTTTCAACCCCTTCCATCTTTTCTTTTTTAATTTTTCTTGCATCAATATGTTGCGTTTTGACACACAGTTGATCCCTTAAAAGGAATAAATGATTCCATTTAGATAAAGTGGAAAACAATATTTCCCATGTTATTTTCCAATAGGAAAAATCATTGCTTTCAGCTAAGTTTGGTCACCTATAATGGGTATCTTTAAAACCCCTGAAGGAATCACTTATTCCTTTAAAGTGGTTAACTATGTGTCAAAATGCAACATATTGATGCAAGAAAAATTAAAAAAAGCAGGGATGGAAGGGGTCGAAAAATAGGAAAACATTTCAGAAAAATCATGTGGGTGGGTTGTTTGCATCTAACCTGTCTCAAAGTCGTAATTATTTTATCATCTCTAGAAGTGATTTTCCTGGAGGTAATGCATTGGCCTAACATATGCAATTGTTTAAATCCTCAGAAAATGGCCAAAATCCAACATATGACTGTACAAAATCTGGTGCGCTAATTTCCCTCCACCTTTAATCTATCTCACAGTAAATCTATTGAGCATTTATTTCATGTCTAATATCTATCTATCTTTATGTTGAAAAACTGAAAAAACTGTCATCTGGAGTCTGAAATTGAATTTGTTCAACTCCAATATCTAGTTCATTGTTGTTATCGTATGTCCACATGTGCTCCAGGGTGACAGTGGAGGGCCCCTTGTATGTAAAGAGAAAAAAACAGATACAGCAATTGTGATAGGAATAATGAGCTGGGTCGATTTAAGTGACTGCGAAAGTACTAGCAAAGGGACCACTGGACACACTAGCGTTTCACATATGTTAACATGGATCTCGGATAAAATAATTGGTTTGTACTTTATTCATACCCTAAAAAAGTCAAAGGAGCCCAGGTTATGTGTGTTTGTTATGGCAGTGAATTTTTTTCGATTAGTGGATATGATTAGATATTTAGAAAAAAGAGGGGCAAGGAAAGTAATAAAGACCTGTTTTAAACAAGTGGCCATGGGATGCATAACCTTTTGACGTATTACTGAGTTTCCCCCATCTTAACTCAGCCACTATTACCTCGATTTTTGCAACAAACATCGTTTTTTATCTGTAGCTATAGCTACTTCGATTACAAAAAAATGTTCGTGGCCGAAAAGTACCGGTGAAAAATCCGAGGGGAGTAAATGTCAACGATCAGAATATGTGAAACTCAATGGGTTTAAATTTCCTACTCGTAGATGACTTATTCAAATTGTATCAACGTAATCATTCCTTAAAGAATGGGGTGAATGGAGCCAGACATGTCGCTCACCGGGGGATACAAGAATGCGTTTAAAGACCTGTCTATTTCGAACTTCCCAAAGTGCAATAGAGGATTGCCCCCGTCAAGAAATAGACAAATGTCCTGGACTGCAAGCAAAGGGTAATATTATTTAATTAATTCAATCTAAAAGAAGATTCTACACTAGGGTAAAAATAATAGTACGAATTGTAGATTAAGAGGCAGGAAGACAGTCAATTGACCCGATAAGTAACCAAGTCCAATACTACTAAAAACAAGGCACATGACGTTCGAGATCAGAACACCTTCAAAATGGCAACCAAAAACAAGACGGCCGCCCAAAACTTTATCAGTTCTAGAACTTGATATCCTCTAGATCACATGTGCGTATTTGGAGAAAATCCGACGAGTGGTTTTTCTGAAATGGCAATGACAAGATTTATCGAAAACCCTTCAAAATGGCCGCCAATAAAGATAAAGATGTCCATCCAAAAGTTAATCAGCTCTAGAACTTATTATCCTTTATCAGATGTGTGAATTTGGAGAATTTCGGTTTTCCTTTAATTTCGATGACAAAAACCGGGTCGATCACGACCACGATAACGACGACTATCCCACCGATGGTGTGATAACTTTCTAAGTCATGTATTTCGACATGGCTGTGTAATTCTATGTGGTGGCCATATCGTTTTAGAAGCATCCCACTAGAATCTTTTTTTTCATTTTGGTTATAGATGCAGAAATTAGAGTCCAGTTGATTCAGAGGGATGTAGAATCAATGGTTGATTTTAAAGATAAAACAGAGTTTACAGAGTTCGGTATGTTACGAGTTAAGAAGCAAAGAAAATTTAAGTATCTGTGTGATAAACAATGGGATGACAGGGCATCGCGAGTCGTTTGCCGGCAGTTGGGCTTCAACCCCGATGATGCAGTTACAATCAAATCTGGACTTGCAACTTATGGAGAAGGAGGGATTCATACAAAGCATTTGATGGATATGAACGGTATAATTATATCAAGCAGAATACAATGTATTGGCAATGAAACGAATCTCTCACAATGCAGTATAGAACTATGGAATCATACCAAACGGGGTTGTCTTCCTAACAATTTTGTAACTATATCATGTACGAAAAGTGGTATTAAAACTCGACTTTCCGATGGGAATTCATTCTCTGGAAGACCTGAAGTTTTTCACGAAGGTGAATGGGCAAATCTTTGCACGGAAGTAACTCGAAAGGACGCACTTGACAGATTTGCCGATTTGGTATGTGAAAACAGTGGCTTGGGAAGACATGCATTTACAGTTCCTTACGATCAATTCGGGAAGGGAAGCGCAACAAAATCTTTCGGATTGGATTGCCCAGATGATTGGTTGTATTCAACATTACAACTGTGTGAAAAGCAAGAAGAGGAAATATGTCGCCATGTTAGTGTGTTCTGCTTTGAGAAAGAACCAAGTAAGTGTGCAATCTAAGGAAAAGAACTAAATGAATAAAACGCACATTATGGTTAGCACATGTTCTACTTTTTTGAACCACCTTTAGCTTAGGTTCGGGTTGGAACCGTCGCAAATTACGATTTGTCGTATGTCACTGTTCCATTTTCGAAGTAGACAATCCTCAAATTACGCGATAAAAATTAGTTTAGTTCAGTTTAGTTACCTCCCGTTTGAAGAGCTCTCATACAGTGTACAACTTCGTCTATATCCGGGTTATTTCCTATTGGATTACACAGGGGTGCGATTTTCAATGCAACGCTGCGGCTTTATTAAACATTTATGTAGCGCTGGAATTGCATAAACGATAGCGGGTCAATGGAAATTTGTCCCTTCCATAGCGATGCATCAGGGAGATATTTATGTAAATTACCACCTGAACTCTTATCGCGAATTGGAGTATTCTTTTTACGAATTGTTAATTGTGTTTGTGCCACAAGCTGACCCCTGTGTTACTAGTAATAATCTAAGTAAGGTAAAGGAACTAATGTCTACAAGAAACAACTATCAATGTTTCCAGAATGAAATTCGGAATGTGATGTCAAGGCATTTAAGTTGATCACTTATGATTGAGAGATTGGCCGTGCAAAATGCACATCGAGTTTTATTTGCGTCTGTTTTGGATTTAGAAGTCCATGACTTTGTCAAATGTCTATCATTGGGAGGTAACATTTGGGGACATGAAATTTTATTTGCGTCTGTTTTGGATCATTTTAGAAATCCATGAATTTGTGAAATGTCTTTCTTTGGGAGGTAACATTTGGGGACATGAAATTTTATTTGCGTCTGATTTGGATCATTTTAGAAATCCATGACTTTGTGAAATGTCTATCTTTGGGAGGTACCATTTGGGGACATGAAATTTTATTTGCGTCTGTTTTGGATCATTTTAGAAATCCATGACTTTGTGAAATGTCTTTCTTTGGGAGGTACCATTTGGGGACATGGAATTGTAAGATTCTGTGATGAGCCCGAGGAAGATAAAAAAGACAAATGGGCAAGTATAGCTTATATCTTTCGGGAAAATGGGCAAACCCAAAATGCGCAAGATCAAATATTGAAGAGAACCTAAACTGTTAGAACTTGCAAAAAACAATGTCAAATATTAATAACATATATTCCTTTTGCTTACTAAAGGAGAATACCAAATTTCAGCGATTTGAATTTTAGGAAGGCCCTACATATTTTTACGCATTTATCGATTTCTCGACTGTATGTGGAAATGACTTTGGAATCGAAGAAGCCAAAGTGGTATGCAGGCAAGCAGGTAATATCTACTTAAATATTAAACAAATAAACCCTTACACTGGCGGATCCAGGGAGGGGGGGGGGGGTGCCACATCTCCCCCTCCTTTGTGGGTTCAAAACAATTTTAGGGCCACATTTTGTAGGGTCTCAACAATTGGCCATTTGGGCATAATTTGCCCAATAAATTAGGCAAAATTTTCGAAAATTGGCCTTGACTTTTTAAAATTTGGGCCCTAATTTTACAAGTGGTACTTCACTGGAAAGGAATATTTCTTGTGAAGTGTTACAGGTATTCACATAGAATTATATATTTCTTTTATTACATTTACTGTTAATTTTAACATCCTCAATAATTTTCAATTTTTGCACATTTTCTAAGCCTAAATCGTTCCCAGTCTCCTACATTCAATCAACAAAGTCGTCAGTTTTGATGTTACTTGCAGGGTGTATATTTTCAATCTATTTTAACCTCTCATCGTCAGAAATCCCAGAAATTTTCCTCGTCTGTTATACTTTTAACCTTAGCATACACTGAACGAAAAAAGTTTCTTTGGAAATTCTCGAAAAATGCCGGAAATGTTATTGGGACCAAAATATAATGGCCCTTTTTAAATGTGTTCCACTTATTGAGGCTCATTATCATAAAATTTGCAAACGTGCTACACTTTAAAGAGGTGTTCTACTTGATATGTCTGCCTTAATTCAATATAAGTATTCAAATTTTCCATACCAATTGTCTCTAGGCTTCGATCCAGCCGATGCCGCATTGAATATATTTGGTTTATATGATACGTGTATCTGGGGCGGCAATGATATCAAAATAAGTGATGTGAAATGTAAAGGAAACGAACACAATCTGGCGGAATGTACTTTCAACTATGGTGAAACTGTGACATGCCCTGGTAACAAGAGAGCGAGTTTGTTTTGTACACCAATCCCTGTGCAGATAGATAGTGAAGGACGTCTGGACATGACGGTGAATACAGACACGCGTAAAATATGTGCAACAAACTGGGGATACGAAGAGGCTAGAGTTGTATGTAAACAACTTGGAAAGGAATACAAAAACGCTATAGGATATGCACTACCAGGTAATGCCGAAAATGCATGGATAACACAAGTTGAATGTAACGGAGATGAAAGACATTTGGGGCAGTGTCAATATAAAGTTGATTTCTCTGTTAGTCTGAAAAATCACAATATTTACTGTGTCGACTGGAAAAAATTTGATGATGAGAGGCATGGTCTTCTTTCTCCACGTAATTATCTTCATTATGGGTTCAACAACTGCACTGGCGATGGATATGCTGCAGTCAAATGTCAATAAAATATGTTCCTCAAATAATAAGTAAATTTGTATATGCTTATTGAAATAAGAAAGCATGATGAATTATATATTGTTGCGTATTGTGTCCTGTTTTGACAACAATCTTTTTCATGGCAACCGTAAATATAGGAATAAAATGAGAGCAAATATCAACCAAACCTACATGAACCATAATGGCACTAATTTCTAGAAACTTATATATCATTTTATCATTTTATATCATTTAGAACACCTCGAGACAACAACAGATTCAGAAAATGAGGATGGGTTTAAATCTAAGCATTTTGGGTAGGTGTAGCCAAAGAAAAGCCACAAAAGAACACATTTTCATTACAAAATCACCTATTACTACCCAAAGGACGTATTTTGTTAAAGTCAAGGTTACTTTGCAAAGGTGACCTATATTCCTGTTTATTTTTTTCATGAAACCACTGAGTAAAATTACGATTTCTCTGCACCCTGATGTCCACTCAAGGTCATTCGAGAATCTATGTGTTTCTGACACGTTTCGGCATCTGAAAATGACAACGTTTACCCAAAGTTTGCGCGCCATATTGACATAATTAATGACTGAAATTGGGACGACAAAAATGTGTAATATTCTTTCAGAACTGCTTATTATAACTATTTACAAAAATGTTTCCGAGTCATTGCAAAAAGATGACAACTGTACCTACATACTAGCTTACTGACTCGTCATGATCACAATTGTGTTGGAACTACATTCATTTTTTAAAATTACTTTTTTCTATTCAGCGGAAGTGACGTATTAAGGCATTTTGGACTAAGAGAAAAACAATTTTAAATTCAGTTCGCTATTTAGCTCCCACCCTTTTAAAACCATCATCTTTTCGTCTTCAACCAAATATAAATCTATAAATTATAAATAGCCTTCTTATATCTTGTTAAATTGTTGTTTGAAAGATGCAGCCGATTCCAGTTGATGCTTGATTATTCATCTGATAATCATCTATTCAACATTCTTAAATGCACAACGAAAGAATAATTAAAGTAATTAATCACTCTACTATCACTGTGGCTAGTCGATCTATGTGGATGCAGTCATTTATATGCAATGTATCGTGGGTGCTCGCGTACATTATAGGGAATGGGATCATTGCAAAAATATGACAGCAAATCGAGGTAAGTGATCTCAGAGTTTCTACTTAATATTGTGACTTGAAATATTGCATACATATTCAATATACATAGTATGACAATGTGTGAAAGTTTCAACTATTATATTCCTGTTATAGGGAAGATATTTGAAAAACATTTCGTAAACGTCAACATATATGTATAAAATGGATTACACTGTGTATCATTTGGATTCAGAACGGTAACAAATGGATGCTATAATAAATTATACTTTTATCATGATAATTTATTTACTGATGGACAACTGGCCAGAATTTCTTTGTATCCATTGTTTGGATAAATATTCCACATTCAGTAAAGTAATTAGCCACACCATTACAAGACACCCTCATGAAGAATTGAAAATACTATATATAAACCCATCAACTGGAAAATGCCATTACAGATGAAAAAACTATGGTTTTATCCCTAATATTCACGGTGTTATAGCATGATGGTTACGTCAAGGCGATTTGCAAAATTTTGCAGTAATGATAACAAAAAATGGCGGATGGGAAAGACGGCATGTCCTCTTTCTCGCCTGTAGGCAATATTGACAGATGAGATTTCCTTTTCAACTAGTTCCATTCGGTGACGTATATATGGATGGTTATAAAGACTGGGTCAAATCTGCCAGGTGGTTTACTAGAAGTGGAATATAAGATGTAAACTTACCGACTGAGATGTCCAAGTTCATAATTTTTAGTCCATTCTCGTGATTTCTCAGTATATGTGTCTCAGAGCCACTCAAACTATTAACAGTAAGTAAACTGTGTATAAACAAGCCATAAAATGACAAATCCAGAACAGGAACGTGGTCATATTGTAAATAATAAGGTTTCAAACGCAATGTCGTTAGACGACAACGTATGAATTCTATTGACGGTAACGTATTGTATTAGATGTACATTAGATATTTAGCGGACGGTTACGTGCATGTACATCTTTCAAGTTAAGGTTGCTAGTTCTGATAGCCTCTTTCCATGTAATTGTTATAATGGGTAAGAAATGGAATATTGAATTTGCTTATATTTGTTTTCATGACTCGCAAGAGATGCTCTTGATTGAGCCTCTATAGGGCAAGGAAAAAATGTGTCTTACTTTATTTATGAAACCAATTTAAGTCAAAAAGATAGCAATGAAGAGGCAAATGAAGAATTAGCATCATGTACTGATGAATATGACACAATTAATACAATGAATCTGTTATACATATTTGAACGAGGTTCGCGTAACCGTCAATCAATTTTTGCGTAACCGCAAATTAAAAATACAATATTATGGCTGAAGTAGAACATATCAGGTGGTTTCCAATGCTCAATTGGCTTTTTATGATCGTATGTAGGTTACATCTATATACCCCGAGGTCGTTGGGCAATGTAGACCATGCCCTAATGACAAAAATAAAAAATTACTAAATTTTGTGTAGTTTTGAATTTCAAACTCAACAGTTTTTCGCTTATTTCATGTTATCCCCAGGCATCAATTTGCAAAGAATACGTTCAAAATATACATTACTAAATGAATCACCAAATGCGATGCCTACAAAAATCGTTCATCCTTTCATTGATACACAGTAGAAGAAAATAATTCACCAACCTTAGTTTTCTGTACCATCAAAGCCATTTTATTGGATCGTAGTTGTCTAATCTCGTTTTCGGAGGTTTTGTAACTTTCATGCTTTAACAACGTGATACTGTTAATTTGAAAAACGGGTCCATAACATGTATGATGACAATGAAAATGTTGAAATTAGGTACGCCAATGAATTGAATTCAGAGCCAAAGACCCATCAACCCACTGGAATACCCACAAATCAAGTTTCATAGCCTTGCCCAAGTTGGTCTTTTCTACTTATCTTGATTTCTATTATGACCGCCTTGTACCCAAGAGAAAGCCTCATGCTTTACCGACCCAGGCCAATAATGTTTTTGTCAACAACGGTCAACAACCAATTAGCCAAAATAAATCTATAATTTTGATTTGAGAAGACGTTTAACGATAGAAGTGTCATGGTCCAGTGATTTTTGCCAATAAAACACTGTGATCAATACAAATAAGTTTGCTCGACTCTTTGGATATGGAATTTTTTCTGCATCTTTATTCGATTTTCACACTTTTGTATTTGATTACAACCATTCGATATTCCACTCTATTAAAATGATTCGAAACACGTAATAAATTTGTTTGTTTTTACACATTTATATTTGATTTATGTACCTATATATGCGGTAAATGCACTTGTACATGTATATGCGGTGTATGTTATTCAGTGTTTGGTAAAATATCACATATTTAAGTCCATGTACACACACGAACAAAAACAGTTGACACATATATTTAGAACACTCATCAAATACAAATACACTTTAGAACCAAACAATGTTCATTTACCGAACAATCATAGAGTACAAAATAGCACGGACATATAGTGACTTACCCCACATAATTAATGACATGTTTCGCATAAAATTATGTGGGGTAAGTCACGTGACTTACCCCACATAAATGACACATGCATCTAGCATAAAACCATTCGGTAAATCACGTGACCAGTGACATAGAAATTTCAAAATGGATGAAACAAGCGAGGAAAAAGAATTTGAATACGATTCATATTCACAATTCAGAGAGGAAATTGAGAAGTTGTTAGATCATTACAACAGACATGAGGCTACATAAGCGATCCTTTGTTAATAGAAGATACGTTTTCGCGATTGGAGAATCACACCAGAGCTCTTTGAATATATAGATGGCGCAAGTCACATGGTCGAAGTCACGTGACTTACCCCACATCAAAACAGTGAACAATGGTTTATATAAAATCATTCGGTAAGTCACGTGACTTACCCCACAAATGAATATGTTTAGCACAAATGAATATGTTTACCCAATACGAATGGTACTTGGCATCGCACATATTTAAAATACTTATCAAATTTATATTTGATCAGGTCGAATACACTTTTGAAGCATCTTACATATTTGTTGTGTAAGACAGTCAATTATATGTGGGATAGTAGCTACCATTTGTTGTAACTGGGTTTGTTTATGTTCGGTTTAACTTACTCCGTGGGGTAAAAACCGAAGATATTAATGTTACGAATATTGATGCAATAAATACACTATATTTGGAAGCTCAATTTTATAGATCCCAGTTAATCACCATTTAAATGTAGAAATGTTGAATTCTCAAGAAAAAAATTTGGCCTAAATTCAAACCACCCCAAGGTTAGTTAAGTATCCATAAAATGCCCATTTGTCCATAGATCATTCTTAAACTGCACAAGCAATCTTGAAACACTTCCATCTTTCATTGAAATATCATTTTTCACCAAAAATCACCAAACCATGGCACTATTAGGGATAACTCCACAGAGGGCGCTAGTGAAAAGGTAGAAAAAATCTAAATTTAAAATCGGGATGATGGTTGATTGAAATCAAGATTTATCAGTGCAATCACTAGTTAAAAAGTACAAATTTTATATTTTATTTTGTTTATCATGTGTGTATATGATTTTACAAAAAGTATGACGAAATGATTCGGTTCAGTTCAAATATTTGACTTTTTGTTACGGTGGTCTTGAGTTTGAAATCTATTGAAAATTGTTTAAAATTCGGATAGATGGCGGAAAAAGCGGTCATATCTTTTTATTCAATGGCCTTTCTATGCAAAAACATTTTCAGTTTTAAAGGAGACATATGGAGCTATCCCGTGGTATATGGGTTTATGTACCAAAAATCCTCGTTTTTTCATAATCAATCCAAAGATTTCAATATTTTCCCATTGGATTACATCAGAGCATTTGTCTGTGGAATTGTCCCATATTAGTTTATTAAGTTGCACAATTAATTTATTGAAAGCAATTTCGCCTGCATGATCGCATACGTAGGCCGTTCGGTACATTTGTTGTAACGTTTCGAGATCACATGCACGTAGTATAGGTACTGGTGTCCAATACATTGATTGAAAGGTGTTATACTTGTACCAATGCAAGATCGAATACACATTGGCAATGATGTCAGTGACATTGTTGTATTCTGTAACAATGTGAGATCAAATATACGCAGACAGTGCCACCAAGCACATCAATTCTTAAAGTAATATCAATGCGAGATCAAATATACGCAGACAGTGCCACCAAGCACATCAATTCTTAAAGTAATATCAATGCGAGATCAAATATACGCAGACAGTGCCACCAAGCACATCAATTCTTAAAGTAATATCAATGCGAGATCAAATATACGCAGACAGTGACGTCCAGCACATTAAAGTGCTCACCATGAATAAATGACACCCGGATTTTCTATCACCATTTTCAGACCATGGTGATTTGAGGCTTTATACTTTCCAATAATGTTTAGATACACATCCCTTAAGTTTTGTATATTTTACATTTTGTATACTCTAATCCACTGATGTAAAGCCTCTTGAAAATTCTCTTCTTTTTAACATGGGAAATCCTCACTTCAGCAAATTCAGGCGTTATTTATTATTTATTATATTTTACAACTGTTTCATATTATACAAAGATTCAAGATTTTATTGTGTTTCAAGCCAAAACAATTGACTTCCTAACAAAATCAATTACAAGACATAATGATACAGTTATACAGTAAAATGCATTGTTAAACTAATATTTAAATATATATATCTTACAAACTAGTTCATTCCTTTTTCAAATAGCTCACGACGTTGATTGAAAAGTTTATTTATAAAATGTATCAATTCGTTTACAATTTCATAATCATCTTGTAATGAGACCGTAATAAGAGGCACTGAGATGGTACTGAAAATATAGCTGGGCAAAAGGAACAAAGGACAGGGTATTTACAAGGATAACAATCGGATAAAATCAACACCGTTTACAACATAAATATTTATTTACAACGTATAAAAATACATGCATACAGTAATATAAAACAAGCAACAAACAGTAATAGATAAAATGGAAATGCTACTAACGAGATCCAACCCCGGAGTGCCTGAGGGCTAAGCCACGCCCTAACTTCCGTTATCGTACCAAAACTAACATTGGAGAGGTTAAGCTTTGCATATATAATCGAAACTGAACCTGTACGTATCACTCGACCATATACAAATTCATGTAGCCTTCTTATATAAATAGCCGTTCAAATCCAGTGTTTGTTTAGACTACACCATAGCGTGTAATGATTCTATAGTATGTCATTGATGCGGTTTTATAGCTGGTTTTCTAATAGATATTTTAAACGAGCTCGTTTCGTAAGATTTTTGGCGCTAAATCATGCATGACATACATCATCGTGTTCAGCAAGAATTCAACTGTGCATCGAAATCAAAATTGACAGCATAGTGTTCAATAGACACGAGTAAAATGGTTCCCGTTGACCCAACGTCAAATTTCAAATTCTCCCGTTCTAAACCCGAAACTCTGAAGCTGAAAGAGTATCTGAAGTAGACTAATACCTTGGTCACATTTGCTCCGATCCATCGACCGGCGCCCGCCCGATTGAGTGTTTTGTTCAAAATTGTATTCAATTTTGAACAAAATACTCAATCGACCGGGCGCCGTAGTGAAAATCGGAGTAAATGTGACCAAGGCATAAGCGCGCATAAAACTATGAGCGCTCGATACATTCCTTTGTTAATTTTTGTACTTTGCGTTCACGGTTACGTTGTGAAAAACATCGTTAGCTTAACCTTTTCATCGTCAAGCTTTTGAACTCAAACTACTTCTAGTGATAAAGACACAGGCGTATAGTCTTCATCGTATCCTGCCCTCTGCTCGACTGACGAACTCAACCTTGTATAACTCACACATAAAAGTCAACTCTACCAGAACAAGTTGAACCAATGAGATCTCTCGTACGGCAGACTAAAGTCTACTAGTTTTCAGCGACAGATATCAATCTAAATTCTATACTTTGTTCCAATAACAAGTTTCTATAATGCTGTTCTATTTACACGACGTTAGCATTGTTTGGAAGTTGAAATATAAAAAGTCTTATTAAGCAACCGTTACAATCTGAAATCATTAAAAACTTTCTCCATCCGACATATTTTCAAATGAATCAATAGAACTTTGATCATATCATATCTGCAATCTTTATAACCATCGCATAAAAGAAGAAAATGCTTTTCATCTTCCACGTTCCCCTTATTGCAAACTTGGCAAATTCTCTCTTTTGCTTCAAGTCGGTTCTGTTCTGCAATATTTTTTCTTTCTCGTGTCTCTCTCTTTCAATTCTTAAATTATGGTTTGCTAATCTAAATCTGGCCATTTTAAAATTACCAATGTGAGATCATATTTACCAATTCGAAATCACATATACGCAGACAGTGACGTCCAGTACATTAATTGTTAAATATTATACCAATGTGAGACCACATATACGCAGGCAGTGACGTCTAGCACATGAATTGTTAGATATTATACCATTGCGAGATCGATGCCAGCAGAACCATTATTGTCAGAGAAACGGTAGTACAGCTGGCTCCTGCAAACATACATGCATAAATCGTAATATTATTTTTCTCACATGCGCAGTATATAATTATAACTTAAGATCCTCAAATCTCACGCACAAAGGTGTAATAACAAGTCGCGATCGGAACTAAAATGTCTGTCAAACAGTCCTTAAACTATAAATCGAGAGATTAATACAAATATCTAGGCATTGTTCATCATATCTGATGTCAACCTCTAGAGTGTATGAGTGGTACAAGCAGTTCAAATCTGGAAGGGGAATTGAGACCGATAATCAAAAATGTGGAAGTCCGAGAATAGCAAATCCAAATATATTTCTATGTTTTGCATTTAGAGCCTATTATAAAACTTAATTCATCTATTTGAAGCCGTAACATGCCTACATATTTAGCCTATTATAAAACTAGCTTACCTGAACCACCTGGGAGTGGGAACCATCCACTAGGGAGGGTCACTATGTTCCCCCCTGCAGACTGAAAACCATCATTTGCTCCTGATCCCGTCGTATTAACAGATCCCGTTGTGTTAACAGATCCAGTGGCGTTAACATATCCTGTTGTTGTAGCAGCGTCTGAGGTTGCAGGACCTTCCGTGGTTGTAGTGGTTGCAGTAACATCCGTTGTTGTAGCATTTTCCATGACATCAGTGGAAGTGCTGGTGGTAGCAATTTCAATGATATCAGCAGCTTCTGTTGTGGTTGGAGCTTCCGTAGTAGTGGTAGTAGTAGTGCTCGTGGTGGTAGAATCGTCCATGATATCAGCAGCTTCTGTTGTGGTTGGAGCTTCCGTTGTAGTGGAGGTAGTAGTGCTGGTAGTGGTGCTGGTGGTGGTAGAATCGTCAATAAGATCAGGTGGAGCTTCCGTAGTAGTGGTAGTAGTAGTGCTGGTGGTGGTAGAATCGTCAATAAGATCAGGTGGAGCTTCCGTAGTAGTGGTAGTAGTGGTGCTGGTGGTGGTAGAATCGTCAATGAGATCAGGTGGAGCTTCCGTAGTAGTGGTTGTAGTGGAGGTTGTGGTGGAGGTTGTGGTGGTAGTGGAGGTTGTGGTGGTAGTGGAGGTTGTGGAGGTAGTGGTTGAGGTTGTGGTAGTGGTGGCAGTGCAGGTTTCTGAAATGTATATCAAATGCAATCAGTTGGAGATCCCTAGTAAATTCACAGTGTTTTGTTTGCCGCAGGACGAAAATATTGAAGAGGATATGCAAAATGTGTTCAATTTCAATAACCCAAATTCATACTTCAGCAGATAACAATTTCACTTACGGCACTTTGCCACATCAGGATGACACTAACAGGTCTAAATATCATCCAAAATGATGAGTGAATGTGTTCAATATCAATAGCCCTAATGCATACGTCAGCAGATACCAATTTCACTTACGGCACTTTGCCACATCAGGATGGAAATCTTCAAATGGAATCATTTTACAAATCAGGTGTCTATATATCTGAAATTCATATCAACTGGAATCATTTTACATAATCGGGTGTCCATATATCTGAAATTCATATCAACTGGAATCATTTCTTATAATCGGGTGTCCATATATCTGAAATTCATATCAACTGGAATCATTTTTTTATAATCGGGTGTCTATATATCTGAAATTCATAATATCAAATGGAATCATTCTACCCAATCTTGTGTCCACATATCTGAAATTCATATCAAATGGAATCATTTTTATAATCGGGTGTCTATATATCTGAAATTCATGTCAATAAATGGAATAATGCATACGTCAGTATGTAAAACCTTCACTTACGGCACTTGGCCACAGCAGGATGACACTAACAGGTCTTAATATCATCCAAAATGATGAGCGAATGTGTTCAATATCAATAGCCCTAATGCATACGTCAGCAGATACCAATTTCACTTACGGCACTTTGCCACAGCAGGATGACACTAACAGGTCTTAATATCATCCAAAATGATGAGCGAATGTGTTCAATATCAATAGCCCTAATGCATACGTCAGCAGATACCAATTTCACTTACGGCACTTTGCCACATCAGGATGACACTAGCAGGTCTAAATATCATCCAAAATGATGAGTGAATGTGTTCAATATCAATAGCCCCAATGCATACGTCAGCAGATACCAATTTCACTTACGGCACTTTGCCACATCAGGATGGAAATCTTCAAATGGAATCATTTTACAAATCAGGTGTCTATATATCTGAAATTCATATCAACTGGAATCATTTTACATAATCGGGTGTCCATATATCTGAAATTCATATCAACTGGAATCATTTCTTATAATCGGGTGTCCATATATCTGAAATTCATATCAACTGGAATCATTTTTTTACAATCGGGTGTCTATATATCTGAAATTCATAATATCAAATGGAATCATTCTACCCAATCGGGTGTCCACATATCTGAAATTCATATCAAATGGAATCATTTTTATAATCGGGTGTCTATATATCTGAAATTCATGTCAATAAATGGAATAATGCATACGTCAGTATGTAAAACCTTCACTTACGGCACTTGGCCACAGCAGGATGACACTAACAGGTCTTAATATCATCCAAAATGATGAGCGAATGTGTTCAATATCAATAGCCCTAATGCATACGTCAGCAGATACCAATTTCACTTACGGCACTTTGCCACAGCAGGATGACACTAACAGGTCTTAATATCATCCAAAATGATGAGCGAATGTGTTCAATATCAATAGCCCTAATGCATACGTCAGCAGATACCAATTTCACTTACGGCACTTTGCCACATCAGGATGACACTAACGGGTCTAAATATCATCCAAAATGATGAGCGAATGTGTTCAATATCAATAGCCCTAATGCATACGTCAGCAGATACCAATTTCACTTACGGCACTTTGCCACATCAGGATGACACTAACGGGTCTAAATATCATCCAAAATGATGAGCGAATGTGTTCAATATCAATAGCCCTAATGCATACGTCAGCAGATACCAATTTCACTTACGGCACTTTGCCACATCAGGATGACACTAACGGGTCTAAATATCATCCAAAATGATGAGCGAATGTGTTCAATATCAAAAGCCCTAATGCATACGTCAGCAAATACCAATTTCACTTACGGCACTTTGCCACATCAGGATGACACTAACGGGTCTAAATATCATCCAAAATGATGAGCGAATGTGTTCAATATCAATAGCCCTAATGTATACGTCAGCAGATACCAATTTCACTTACGGCACTTTGCCACATCAGGATGACACTAACGGGTCTAAATATCATCCAAAATGATGAGCGAATGTGTTCAATATCAAAAGCCCTAATGCATACGTCAGCAAATACCAACTTCACTCACGGCACTTGGCCAGAGCTTAACGGGTCTTAGTATCATGCATTCAAAATGCATTCAATTTCAATTCACATTTGATATCAACTAAACCAAAAATGCAGGTTCCGGACATATCGAAGGGATGGCCTTCCTTGTTACACTTGAAAAGGTGATAAGTTAAGTGTCCATATTCTCGGTAGATGGTGCGAAAACATTCTTTCCATGAACTGATTGAGTCAAGAATCGTCTTAAGACAATTTTTCCAGCAGACGCTAAACAAGAATGCGAGAATGTCCCACTTTCATTTGCCATAAACGCTATTTGCATGTCTATTGCATGTCTAATTTTCTTCACACTCTCCATTGAAAACGTATCATGAACGCTTCTGCAGCGTATATATATTCTATTCTGTTCAATGCTTCATCCATTCTAATAATTATATGTTGACTTGTCCAGTTCTGATCCAGTTCATTGGATTTCTTTGATTTAACAGTTTTTGGTCCTTTACTTCCCGAATCTTTTCAACAGCACAGCTTCATTTAATTTCATGCCATTTTCTTACATTTGAAAGGGTTTGAACGAAGGAAAATGGAGCAATGTAATATCAAGGTACGGCCCATTGTATATGCCCACCCGTAACAAAATAATAAATATCAACTTACGACCATCTCCTTCGAATCCTGGGTCGCACTGACACACAGCATAACCGATTTCATCTTCACTCCTCTTTTTCCGTTTCACTTTCTCAGATGGAGGTTCTGATAACTGTAATGCTACAACACATGTTGCGTCTCCATGGCAGGGATACAGGATAGGATTACACACCTCCATGATCGGAAGGCAAACTGAAATGAATAGTACAATAACGTCATTTCTAAGGGCAATATAGTGAAATATTGGACCGAGGGCCGAAGGCCCAAGGTCCAACATTTCACTATATTGCTCGCAGAAATGACGTTATTAGTATTATTACCACCGTTAACGACCAGGGCTGAAATAGCAAGAAAATCGCACTGAACGATATTTAATTTCCCGGGGGAAATTTGCCGGTCCAGAATATATTCTAGACCGGTCCATATGGACCATCACTATGACGTTACACATTTCTCAGGTCGATATAGTAAAATGAATGCCTTCTAAACTAGCACTAAAACCCCAAGAACTGGCACGGCAAGGTGGTAATAATACAATAAAATGACAAAGGGCGATTTCTCAATGGCTTATATGCATTAATTGGCTTTCAATGATCTTCGAAGTGTATTATGTGGCGACAACCTTTGCAATACCCAATGGTTTTCAAGCAAATGGAAATAAGCACAATAAAATGACAAAGGGCGATTTCTCAATGGCTTATATGTATTAATTGGCTTTCAATTGATCTTCGAAGTGTATTATGTGGCGACAACCTTTGCAATACCCAATGGTTTTCAAGCAAATGGAAATAAGCACAATAAATTGACAAAGGGCAATTTCTCAATTGCTTAAATGTATTAATTGACTTTTAATCTTACCTTCGAAGTGTAGTGCGGTACAACCTTTTCAATTCACCATGGTTTTCAAACAAATTGAAATTAACACAAAAGAAATGACATAGGGCGATTTCTCAATGGCTCATATGTATTAATTGACTTTTAGTTGACCTTTGAAGTATAGTGCGGTACAACCTTTTCAATTGACCATGGTTTTTCAAATCAAACTAGGCCAAGAATGCTTTTTTCAAAGTTTCTTTTTAGATAAGGGACTATTTGAAATCAATATTTCAGATTGACATATTCGAAATATACATTACATTAAAAACTTCGATGCATTATTTTCTAAACATTTCATTTAAGAAAGAAAAGGCTGTCATTTTACACGATAGAAATGAATAAACACAACTCGCAACCTCGTGGTTACGGCGCCCAATCGCCTAGCTCGAACGTGCCGGCGCTCAAGCCCTCTCGGCCAACTCGACAACCCCAAAAAGGTTGTTTTGTCAGTCGATCTGACTAGAGGCAGCTGATGTTAACGATCGAACACACCAGAGGAAGCACAACTGACATTTCTGTCCCTATGGCATTTGCTCTTATATATCCCCCCCCACACACGCTTCTCAAGTGTCCTTAAGAGAGTAGTAGTAGATCTCAGATTCTATTTCTTAAATTTGGGGACTACGAATAATCATTTTCGTCTGACATTTAGAGGACATATTCATTTGAAGGTTCTATACATTTCAGTATGTCTTCAATCATGTTAAACGAATTACACAGGGAGATATGCCAAGTACTAAAATAGGATTCATGCCATATTAGCGCTAATTGAGTAAATTGAACACTTATGACATGGGTACTGATTTGTTGCAGGTTTTAGTACTAAATGAGTATGAGTATATTATGAGTGATAAAATAGCAGTAATTTTATTGATTTTCTAGCTTTAAATTGGTACTCATATCATGAGTGATAAAATAGTACTAATAAAATTGATTTTTCAGCACAAGATGAGTACTCTTATCATGAATTAGTACTAAATTAGCACTCATGGCATGAGTGCTTATGAGTGCACTTTTGACAGAGTGCTAATTTAGTACTCATTTTGTATTTATTGAGTAATCGGCATATCTTCCTGTGTAGTTGTTAGAATTCATAATCTAGCAGACATAAGTCAAATTGCCAAATTTGACAATGTCAGATTTGAGATCAAAATCAGATAGGTGTTGTTCTGAAATATTCCTTCTTATAATATTTTATTTTGCTTGTCCTAGTTTTTATTTACAAAATGTGACGTGCTTTGGTATCGTACTTTTTACTTTTTCTTGGAGGCTAATATTTAAAGGTTATGTCACTATCGTTGCATATATGCCCGAGGGTTTCAGTGATATATGGCCCGACCTTGGGAGGGACATTGATCACTGAGAACCGAGGGCATATATGCAACTATAGTGACATAAACGATTTATAACATACCTATGATGATCTAATCTGGTCAGAACGTACCGTTTTCTTATCTTATTGACTAGCAATGGTTCGGAAATGATGATTTATTCCCATGTTTGTATCTTACGAATGTACGATCAATTTGACCTAGGCCTAATGTATGACGTAGTCCCAGCGCTTGACCAACCAGAAAGTTAGCGGGCGCGGGCTTTTCAAAAGTTATATTGGCCCGCTGTCTTGTGAACAGTTTACACTATACGTCATCATAGGTATGTTATAAAGGGTCTTAAAGACACTCATCCTTTCAAAATATAACATGCTTTGATTTTAACTTTTTTTTATACGTACATCCGTCGTCATTGACTCCCATGTCTCCATTTCCAATATCAGATATTGTACAACTTTCGTCCTCACATGGTTCGTCAATTTTGCAGGACTCTACACTAGTACAGTTCTTAACTAAAACATAAAACACCCCATTCTTAACACACTGTGCGAGTTATTATTTATTTCAAATATCAGATATTGTCGTACAATTCTCCTCGCGTAGTTCTTCAATTCTGCAAGACTCAGTACTAGTCGACGCGAGTTTCTGGCTAAAACATGAACACAAAACGTCAAGGGGCCAAAACTCCATATCTGGAGTTCTTTCTTTTTCAGTTTTTTGTTGGAGTTCTTGCACGACCGGAGATTGTTAGTTGTCTATATACAGCAGAAATAGTAGTAGAAAGTTCCCTTGAATATTTTTCAGTTTAAGTGGATAAATGACCCTCATGTATCTTATGTCCAGCAAAATTATATCTTAAACCATAGAAGTGTTTTGAAATACAGGGTGTTCAAAAATACAACGCAAAGAAATCGCTATATCTTAAAAAATACTAATCCAAATGTGTTCATTTTTTCAGGAAAGAAAGAAGAGACTGTGTACGTACAGCTCTTATTGTTAGTAAGTTGTAAAACATGAAACCTTGAACACCACAAAATGCATTTGTATTAGAAAAATACGAAAAACGCAGTCAGCAGTGACTGCCATGACATGTTCACACTTTACGGTCATGTTCAAAATGCCTTCTCAAGTCTACCTGAACCAGGATGTTTGATTGCGTTTTGAAAGCATTTCGACCATGACTATAAAGTCACTGGGTGATTTTGATTTCACTCTACATATTTACCACTCATTAAATGAAGATGATTTGTGCCTTTGAAGAGCCAAAACACTTTGGTTAGGAAATTATTTAGTATTCTTGCGGTTACAGCCACTCCTGACTACATTTTTCTTATTTTCTAATTCAAATGTCTTTTGAGCAGGTGTCCAATGTATTACTAGTATGTTTTACAAGGAACCAACTACAGGAGCTTACAATACAGTATTTTTCTTTCCTGAAAAAATGAACATTGAATTAGTATTTTCCAAGATAAAGCGATTTCTTTGGGTTGCTTAGTTTTGAGCACCCTGTATCCAACAATTTTGGACAATATCACTAAAAGTTACACCGTCACTAACCATAAATATATGATATATTTTGAGTTTATTATATGTTTAGCGATTTAGAATAAAAACAATATAATTTCCCAAATATCATGTTTTAAAAGAGAACTAAGAAATGTAAAAAATTTACATTTAATTTTAACTTCAGCAAGATCCTTATGCCTTGGTCACATATGCTCCGATTTTCTGAGTCGCTCGGATATTTTACACGTGACAGGGTAGTGGCAAAATATTAGAATAGTACGTTGGCCCGAAACTCCATGTACAACAAAATCGTTTGCAATATCTGTCGCAAATGTAGACTCAGTACAGGGTGGGCCAAAAAACAATACCCAACTTTAAATCAGAATAAAAATATTGTTTTTTGGTTCACCCTGTATAAGCTTGAAGTTTATACTACTCACCACATCGTACAGGGTAGCACCCATGCGCGTGATCATGAACAGTGCCCCAAAAGTCACTGTATGACCAATCGTCCGTTACAGGTGTTGCCCATGATCCTGCAGTTTCAGCTTGATATTCTGCACTATCATAAACATTCGAAATATACCAAATTTTCGTATATTCGTCCTGGTAAATAAACATCGATGCATCATCCTTTGCCCAGACTCGCGGGGGCACAGGAAGATTTCCATCTATATCCTCTTCCATGTCAATGTGATCGTAATGATAAATACCTTCTAACCAATTGTGCTCTTCCTCTCCACCAGGTGGTATGCATGATTCAAAGTCGACAATTAAAGTGTGACACCCATCTGCAAATGACATATCAAAGTCAATTATATTAGTCACTTCAAAAAGTGATACATCGTACACAATTATAGTGTCACAGCCAGCTATTAATGACATATAGTAGACAATTACAGATTCACACCCATCTGCAAATGACACATCATACACAATTATTAAGTCACACCTCTCTGCAAATGTCATGTAATAGACAATCATAGTGTCACACTCATCTGCAAATGACACATCATACACAATTATAGAATCACACTCATCTGCAAATGTCATATAATAGACAATTATAGAATCACACTCATCTGCAAATGACATATCATACACAAATATAGAATCACACTCATCTGCAAATGACATATCATACACAATTATAGAATCACACTCATCTGCAAATGACATATCATACACAATTATAGAATCACACTCATCTGCAAATGACATATCATACACAATTATAGAATCATACTCATCTGTAAATGACATATCATACACAATTATAGAATCACACTCATCTGCAAATGACATATCATACACAATTATAGAATCATACTCATTTGCAAATGACATATCATACACAATTATAGAATCACACTCATCTGCAAATGACATATCATACACAAATATAGAATCACACTCATCTGCAAATGACATATCATACACAATTATAGAATCACACCCATCTGCAAATGACATATCATACACAATTATAGAATCACACTCATCTGCAAATTACATATCATACACAATTATAGAATCACACCCATCTGCAAATGACATATCATACACAATTATAGAATCACACTCATATGCAAATGACATATCATACACAATTATAGAATCACACTCATCTGCAAATGTCATATAATAGACAATCATAGTGTCACACTCATCTGCAAATGACATATCATACACAATTATAGAATCACACTCATCTGCAAATGTCATATACCAGTAATAGACAATCATAGTGTCACACTCATCTGCAAATGACACATCATACACAATTATAGAATCACACTCATCTGCAAATGACATATCATACACAAATATAGAATCACACTCATCTGCAAATGACATATCATACACAATTATAGAATCACACCCATCTGCAAATGACACATCATACACAATTATAGAATCACACTCATCTGCAAATGTCATATAATAGACAATCATAGTGTCACACTCATCTGCAAATGACATATCATACACAATTATAGAATCACACTCATCTGCAAATGTCATATAATAGACAATCATAGTGTCACACTCATCTGCAAATGACATATCATACACAATTATAGAATCACACTCATCTGCAAATGTCATATACCAGTAATAGACAATCATAGTGTCACACTCATCTGCAAATGACATATCATACACAATTATAGAATCACACTCATCTGCAAATGACATATCATACACAATTATAGAATCACACTCATCTGCAAATGACATATCATACACAATTATAGAATCATACTCATCTGCAAATGACATAGCATACACAATTATAGAATCACACTCATATGCAAATGACATATCATACACAATTATAGAATCACATTCATCTGCAAATGACATATCATACACAATTATAGAATCATACTCATCTGCAAATGACATATCATACACAATTATAGAATCATACTCATCTGCAAATGACATATCATACACAATTATAGAATCACACTCATCTGCAAATGACATATCATACACAATTATAGTGTCACACTCATCTGCAAATGTCATATACTAGACAATTATAGAATCACACTCATCTGCAAATGACATATCATACACAATTATAGAATCACATTCATCTGCAAATGACATATCATACACAATTATAGAATCATACTCATCTGCAAATGACATATCATACACAATTATAGAATCACACTCATCTGCAAATGACATATCATACACAATTATAGAATCACACTCATCTGCAAATGACATATCATACACAATTATAGAATCGCACTCATCTGCAAATGACATATCATACACAATTATAGAATCACACTCATCTGCAAATTACATATCATACACAATTATAGAATCACACTCATCTGCAAATGACATATCATACACAATTATAGAATCACACTCATCTGCAAATGACATATCATACACAATTATAGAATCACACTCATATGCAAATGACATATCATACACAATTATAGAATCACACTCATCTGCAAATGACATATCATACACAATTATAGAATCATACTCATCTGCAAATGACATATCATACACAATTATAGAATCACACTCATCTGCAAATGACATATCATACACAATTATAGAATCACATTCATCTGCAAATGACATATCATACACGAGTTTCACGATCATCTGCAAATGACATATCATACACAATTATAGAATCATACTCAACTACAAATGACATATCTTACACAATTATAGAATCACACTCATCTACAAATGACATATCATACACAATTATAGAATCACATTCATCTGCAAATGACATATCATACACAATTATAGAATCACATTCATCTCCAAATGACATATCATACACAATTATAGAATCACACTCATCTGCAAATGTCATATACTAGACAATTATAGAATCACACTCATCTGCAAATTACATATCATACACAATTATAGAATCACACTCATCTGCAAATGACATATCATACACAATTATAGAATCATACTCATCTGCAAATGACATATACTAGACAATTATAGAATCACACTCATCTGCAAATTACATATCATACACAATTATAGAATCACACTCATCTGCAAATGACATATCATACACAATTATAGAATCATACTCATCTGCAAATGTCATATACTAGACAATTATAGAATCACACTCATCTGCAAATGACATATCATACACAATTATAGAATCATACTCATCTGCAAATGTCATATACTAGACAATTATAGAATCACACTCATCTGCAAATGACATATCATACACAATTATAGAATCATACTCATCTACAAATGACATATCATACACAATTATAGAATCACACTCATCTACAAATGACATATCATACACAATTATAGAATCACACTCATCTGCAAATGACATATCATATACAATTATAGAATCACACTCATCTGCAAATGACATATCATACACAATTATAGAATCACACTCATCTGCAAATGTCATATACTAGACAATTATAGAATCACACTCATCTGCAAATGACATATCATACACAATTATAGAATCACACTCATCTGCAAATGACATATCATACACAATTATAGAATCACACTCATCTGCAAATGACATATCATACACAATTATAGAATCACACTCATCTGCAAATGACATATCATACACAAATATAGAATCACACTCATATGCAAATGACATATCATACACAATTATAGAATCACACTCATCTGCAAATGACATATCATACACAATTATAGAATCACACTCATCTGCAAATTACATATCATACACAATTATAGAATCACACTCATCTGCAAATGACATATCATACACAATTATAGAATCATACTCATCTGCAAATGACATATCATACACAATTATAGAATCACACTCATCTGCAAATGACATATCATTATACAAATAGTGACTGCCATTGAGGGCAATAGTGTAAATTATTTCCCCGAGGGAATATCCTCTACAATGTACTATTCCCGAAGCCGCAGGCTGAGGGAATATATAGTACATTGTAGAGGATATTCCCAAGGGGAAATCATTTACACTATTGCTCGAAATTAGGCAGTCACTATTTGTTTTATTATATACCCTATACTGACTCGTGTCCCGTTTCCTCTGTGAAGGCCAAAGAGGCTTAGAAAGCCCCCTCCCATTGTTAGCATTGTTAGCATTATAAGCTGTGACGTCATCAGATGCTCAACAGAAATGTTTGCCTCTGAGACTCTCACTTGACAAATTCAATGGCGTTTAACATGCGGAATAGATTATCATAACACTTGAAATTACACAGACGTATTGAGCTTAGGGAACTTTATACACGTTGCTTATATTGTATCGTTCACGCACGTCTGTCATGGTGAACGGAGTTGATTTGTGTTTGTGCTCATCCTCCATTTTTCTGTTTTTCGTCTGCGCAGTGATGATGCGCAGACGTTTCCAAGGGTAATAGAACTTGCAATTGTGACGTCAGCGGGCAATAGTTCAAATGTATATTCCCGCTGACGTCACATTTGAGGGAATATAACTTTCCGAGGGAAATAGTAAATCTATTTCGGAACACGTGACTAGGTATTGACCAATCAGGATTAGTGTTACATATTGGGTATATAATAAACACAAATATAGAATCACACTCATCTGCAAATGACATATCATACACAATTATAGAATCACACTCATCTGCAAATGACATATCATACACAATTATAGAATCACACTCATCTGCAAATGACATATCATACACAATTATAGAATCACACTCATCTGCAAATGACATATCATACACAATTATAGAATCACACTCATCTGCAAATGACATATCATACACAATTATAGAATCACACTCATCTGCAAATGACATATCATACACAATTATAGAATCACACTCATCTGCAAATGACATATCATACACAAATATAGAATCACACTCATCTGCAAATGACATATCATACACAATTATAGAATCACACTCATCTGCAAATGTCATATACTAGACAATTATAGAATCACACTCATCTGCAAATGACATATCATACACAATTATAGAATCACACTCATCTGCAAATGACATATCATACACAATTATAGAATCACACTCATCTGCAAATGACATATCATACACAATTATAGAATCACACTCATCTGCAAATGACATATCATACACAAATATAGAATCACACTCATATGCAAATGACATATCATACACAATTATAGAATCACACTCATCTGCAAATGACATATCATACACAATTATAGAATCACACTCATCTGCAAATTACATATCATACACAATTATAGAATCACACTCATCTGCAAATGACATATCATACACAATTATAGAATCATACTCATCTGCAAATGACATATCATACACAATTATAGAATCACACTCATCTGCAAATGACATATCATTATACAAATAGTGACTGCCATTGAGGGCAATAGTGTAAATTATTTCCCCGAGGGAATATCCTCTACAATGTACTATTCCCGAAGCCGCAGGCTGAGGGAATATATAGTACATTGTAGAGGATATTCCCAAGGGGAAATCATTTACACTATTGCTCGAAATTAGGCAGTCACTATTTGTTTTATTATATACCCTATACTGACTCGTGTCCCGTTTCCTCTGTGAAGGCCAAAGAGGCTTAGAAAGCCCCCTCCCATTGTTAGCATTGTTAGCATTATAAGCTGTGACGTCATCAGATGCTCAACAGAAATGTTTGCCTCTGAGACTCTCACTTGACAAATTCAATGGCGTTTAACATGCGGAATAGATTATCATAACACTTGAAATTACACAGACGTATTGAGCTTAGGGAACTTTATACACGTTGCTTATATTGTATCGTTCACGCACGTCTGTCATGGTGAACGGAGTTGATTTGTGTTTGTGCTCATCCTCCATTTTTCTGTTTTTCGTCTGCGCAGTGATGATGCGCAGACGTTTCCAAGGGTAATAGAACTTGCAATTGTGACGTCAGCGGGCAATAGTTCAAATGTATATTCCCGCTGACGTCACATTTGAGGGAATATAACTTTCCGAGGGAAATAGTAAATCTATTTCGGAACACGTGACTAGGTATTGACCAATCAGGATTAGTGTTACATATTGGGTATATAATAAACACAAATATAGAATCACACTCATCTGCAAATGACATATCATACACAATTATAGAATCACACTCATCTACAAATGACATATCATACACAATTATAGAATCACACTCATCTGCAAATGACATATCATACACAAATATAGAATCACACTCATCTGCAAATGTCATATACTAGACAATTATAGAATCACACTCATCTGCAAATTACATATCATTCACAATTATAGAATCATACTCATCTGTAAATGTCATATACTAGACAATTATAGAATCACACTCATCTGCAAATTACATATCATACACAATTATAGAATCATACTCATCTGCAAATGTCATATAATAGACAATTATAGAATCACACTCATCTGCAAATGACATATCATACACAATTATAGAATCACACTCATCTGCAAATGACATATCATACACAATTATAGAATCACACTCATCTGCAAATGACATATCATACACAATTATAGAATCATACTCATCTGCAAATGACATATCATACACAATTATAGAATCATACTCATCTGTAAATGTCATATACTAGACAATTATAGAATCACACTCATCTGCAAATTACATATCATACACAATTATAGAATCACACTCATCTGCAAATTACATATCATACACAATTATAGAATCACACTCATCTGCAAATGACATATCATACACAATTATAGAATCATACTCATTTGCAAATGACATATCAATCACAATTTTAGATTCACACCTTTCTGCAAATGTCATATAATAGAGAATTATAGAGTCACACCTTTCTGCAAATGACACATCATACACGAGTTTCACGATCATCTGTAAATGACATATAATGGACAGTTATAGAGTAACGACCATCTACAAATGACATATCAAAAACAGTATTCCAGAGGCACACCCATCTGCAAATGACACAGCATACACAATTATAGAGTCACAACTATCTGCAAATGGTACATACATACTATGATTGAATGAAGGAAATCTAAATAAATGGTCACATCAAATGGTAATGGGCGAAGTATTACAAACGGGGTGTAATCATCTGGAACCCGAATGTTGGCCGAAATGGATAAGAAAATATTGCAAGGAAGAACACGTGGCATTTACACAGTTGGACATCGACATTAAAGCCATCGTATCGGCCCAGAAAAATATTGATCTTTCGAATGTCAATAAAAGGTCAAAGTATAAAGTTAACCTAAAGGTCAAATATTTTCTGGAAGCTTGAATTTAAACTTAAAAGGGGCAGGTACGTCATTGCAAGCTTTTTGGACAGCTCTCACTTAAGCTCTAATAGATATTTCACCACTGAAACAAATACGTTTGTTTGGCCAATATGTCATATTCAACAAAGGGCAATAAAGGTCGTACGGATTATCTCTTAAGCTATCATTAATCCACACATCATCACCAACTTTCCGCAATACCAATTTTCACCAAAGGTGCAGCATTTTATTCAATTTTTTTACGACTAAATTGAAATGTCCTGTTAGTCATGATTTACCTTTGAAAGGGAAAGTGAGTCCCATTGAGATTAGGATAATCCGCTAACAATGGAAAGGATTGGTATCGATATGGTTTACTTTTTGAACACACGTTTCTCTTAAACCAGTCATCCAAAAATTCTAAAAAAAATTAACACATCGTCAATTTAATGGTCATTATTTGGCTCACACAGTGAGCCTATGGGATTGACCAGGCGTCCGTCCGTCCGTTGGTCCGTCCGTCAACATTGGCCGCACAAATTAAAACTGCTATTCAGATTGAGTCATATCCACATTCATTTTATGCATATCCATAATGCCTATTTGACCTATCATCGCCATTTCCCAAGTTCTCCCGGTTTCTGAGAAATTGCGGATTTTGACGTCAAAAAGTCAAATTTTCTGTAAATACTAAGACACTTTGTTGAAATAGAACTTTTAAATAACTTGTAGTAGTTGCTGTATATGCAACTTATGTCCTCTGAAGATTTCAAAGCTCTTGGAATTACAGTTTTTGGTGTTTACTCCATAAAAGTTGACAAAAAGTAGGACTTGGCCATTTTCAGGAAACTTTCTCATGTATAAAGTCAAAGGCAGGTTTTGTGATTGACGAGTTTCTTGCAATAAATAACATCAGTACTAGATTTAAGCATTCCCCACACATTGCTCAATATATGTACAGCATCAAATTTTTACCATTTTTGAGATATTTGACGTAAAAAAACACAGTAAAAATAAGTTTTTTTCAACTTGCTTCAATTTGACATTTTTTTTGAAAGTCATCTACAAGTTACCAGGAGTTCAAATCTAACATAAATGTTAAGATTTGACCTTTACTTGACCTTCAGTGACCTTCGAAAGGTCAAAAAGTTGATTTTTCAAATTGATTGCTGAGCTCTGAATAAGTAGAATTTTCAAGGTCAAAGGTCATCAAACTAGGTCACACAACTGTGCTATCTAAGTTTCTCAAAGTTCGAGACTACAAATCCAAATCAATATTTTTGTTTGAAAGTCAGGATATACATTCCTCTGAAGGTTCCAAACTGTGTGAGCACAGGACCGTGGGTCCTTCATTTGTTATTAAATAGTAACAATATAATTTGATACATATGTATATATCGATACCTATCCGTTGAGGTCAAATATCTGGTGTATCATGGTTCATGTTCAAAAAAAATTGGGGGATTCTACATAATCAATCTCCAAAAAGAAAAAAATAACTAAATAAGAAAGGGCTTATCTCATAATCCATTATATCTCATAATCAATGTTATTTTTTTTATTTTTGGAGATCAAATATGTAATACCCCCCTTTTGTACATAAACTATATCAAAAATGTTGCTTTTACGCCAGATATTTGACCTCAAATTTTCATTGTTTTTCGGATTATCCTAATCCCAATGTGACTCACTTTTCCTTTTCAGAGGTAAATCATGACTTAAAGTACATTTCAATTTAGTCGTAAAATATGAAATAGAATGCTGCACTTTAGGTGAAAATTGGCTCATTATTGCGGAAAATTGGTGATGATGGGTGGATAAATGACAGCTTAAGAGATAATCCGTTTAACTTTACTTTCATTCTATTGCCATCTATTGAAGATGACATATTGGCCAAACAAACGCATTTGTTTTTCTGGTAAAATAATTATTCGATTTTAAGTGAGAGTTGTCTAAAAAGCTTGACATAACTTACCCGCCCGTATATTAATATGAAAAGTACGAACGTCTGAGATCGCATTTCTAACTTAAATGATGTTTATTTCAGTCTAAGCTTTAGTAACTACATGAACGTTTATGTGTTTATTTTCAAATAAATCAAGCAGAACATCATTAGATTATTTTTTTTCATTTAAAAAGTATCTTTCTATCATAAGTGACTGTTTGGCTTATGACTACCGACAACCATGTATCAATGTTTTGTTCTCATTTTTGCCCCATGCCTGTTCACGACCATGTTGAAAGTTGTTCAGTAGTTAAGAAAGTAGTTCCGACACAATATACTCACATGCATCTCCGTCATACGATTCTTGACATTCGCATGAAAACAAGTCTTCACCACCAAGGTCAACGCAATCTGCGTATTTATCACAAGGATGGTCTTCACATTGACAATCGACTGGAAAAGACAACGTATTTAGCATATTACTATGATCATTCAATGAAGTCAAAATATCTGTATGTAAACAATAGTTCACGCATGCGTGAAAATGGCAGCGCCTCTAGCGGTAAAATTTAGAGATCGAGATAATCAGATCAATTTGAGATGGAGACACACATTAGATCCTTCATCTGTCAAAATCAGAATAACATTTTTGGACATTTTTTATAGATGGCGTCTTCAACAGGTGAGATCTTTTGATTTTCGTGGGGAGTTTTGATTCAAACTTTTTTGACAGACAGAGGACATACTGGGGTATGATGGAATGATAGCAAAACATGTCCACAAATCTTAGTTTTCTGTGGAAGACAGATCGTTTGTATGGGAATACGCATGTTATAACAATAAGTTGGGTTAACCCGATACCAATCCATTCGTTAAAATCCGTAGAGCAAACGTATCATCAATAGTTTATCTAATACCCGGGACATTACTATATGTACTGAACGAAACGGCATCAATGGCTTTAGAATTACTCCACATGTCGCTGTTGAAAAGGAAGAAAAATCCCCCTAGATAACTCATCCCCTGGATAACTTATCCCCTGGACAACTCATTCCATGGACGAATCATCATTTGGAATATCTGAGTAGTATAATGTCAGTACTGGCGGTAGGCTCAATATTTTGTGTGTCACGTGACCCAGTTCAATCAAAAAGTGGGTCAAACTTGGAAAATGTGGGTCAATTATGAATTATGATAATTATGCTCAATTTGGATAAATCTAGAGTACAAAAATAAATGTGCTGCAATGAGACTTCATGTCTTGCCAAACTGGGACGCTGCAAATCCAGGCAACCTCCTTTTGTAGCAAAAACATTGTTCTTATGATGAAATTGACTTTTGCCATGATTTAAGTATCGCAATAATGAAACATAAACTAAATCAATGGAAAAATCCAAAGTGTAACAGGAAGTCATGAGTGTTACGCACTTTCAGTCTCATAACAGTATTAAGTGGGCAAAGTGTGCATACGTTGCCTATTATAGCATCGTCCTGCAGAACATTTTGAATGAGTTGATGCTTTAAAGTCCCCGTCTAAAGTTTGAAAATATTTTTTTAGCATTCATTTACTATTTGTCATGACTTAAAAAATTTGGGGGAGAAAAAGTTGTGAGCATTTCATTTCTCAAATATTCAAATTTCCCGCCATTTTTCAAAAAAAGTTGAAATCTTTTAATCATCAAATATTTCTTAATGCATTTCAAAAGAGATTATCCTTTTAACACCAATCCTTTTAACACCAATGCAAAGATTGAACAAAGGACACACTATTTCAATAATAAAATGCCATATTTAATGGGCCACTTCAATGTTTTAGCATATCAAAAATATTTTGAAACATTAGTGATGTCACAAAGGTACCAAAAACTTTTTGAAAAAAACTGAAATTTTGTTTTCGATGTCTATCTTTTTTCAATATCCTAGACTTCAATAATCAATCAATGTTAATTGTCTAACTAGGTTAAAAGGAAAAATATATTATGTTTTAGATATCATTATACCATTGGTTTCTATGAGAACTAAAATTTTGAAATGCATTTTTCTCAGAACCATTTTCTTGCACTGATAAGTTCATTTCTCGCTTATTTATGAACCGATTTTCTTATTTTTTCGGCAAAAAAACATGCGAGGATGAATGCTATGGAATGGTATGAATTGTGTCTAATTAAAAGATATATGTGACCTCTAAAAGTTAGTTTTAAATAAATTCACAAATTTTGGAACAAAAAGTCTATTAAAAACCACTTTTTGAAATTTACAAAAAAAGTTTCACATATCACACTTGGATAACATTGGGTAAGACTACAATATAAGCCAAAGTGGTTTAAACTTTACACGGGGACTTTAAGAATTTTTTCACATTTTGAGAATTGCAAACCGTACCCGATGAATTTAGTTTCGTTGTTTCTGTTTGGTCGATTGGCATAAGTTTTTAAACCAATGAAAGATCGTGATACATGATTTGGTCGGTAGGATATAGGTCAAAACTTTGTTTTGTTGTGTGGGGCTAATTCCCTGGAACTAGCCTTTATCAATCTGGGGATAAAAGAGCGTCAATGAAACGCAATGAGTTGAAAATTCTGCGTCACACTTGATCGAATATGCGTAAAAATGGTAAAAAACGGCGTTAACGCCAGCTCTGAACGTAATATTATTAATTCATATATTATTCAAATGATTAACACGATCGTCGATTTATAACCTCACTTTTGTTACGTAAACAGAACTTCAAAAATGGTTAAGATCTGCACTTCTAACTCATTCGATTTACATAACAATAGTAAGGTATTAAAGCAACGATTCTGTTGTCTTCTGACTGACAAGTGAACAATGACTTTCTTGGGGGAAATCTTGAAAATTGTTTAAAAAAACTTTGATATACCATGGTACTACTATGGTTATGTCAAGGAGATTATCAACCAATTAATCTGTAATTTGTTTTGTAAATATTTACCTTTAATTCTACTTTTAATATACAATTCATATGTTAACATTGATTTGATTTCAGTATATGCGTGTTGTTTATACTTCAAATATTCTTTAATCCAAAGATAATTTTATCATAGCAGTCACAGATGAAGTTAGTAAAGTTCATGTTTAAAAATTATGCAGAGAGAACTTTATTTTTTTGTCATGCAATATTAAGTCATGTAATATAAGGACAAATTAGACAACAGCAACGCCAAAGCGTGTAGCAAATCCCATCGAACAGCCATGGCTGGCATTTGTACAAACAAGATGTTACTACAGTGTTTTTTAATACTTTAAAAACGAAGCCATGCCAACTTGAATGATGTGTATAGTAGGTTTAAGTTTATGTACTGTGGCCATTTGAGGTATGTATGTAAAGCTGAGGCCAAGTAGTTTCTAAATGTGCCATTTTTAGAATAAAATCGCAAGAATATAGTCCCGTAAACTGGAACTACTTTATTCGTTAATTTTCATCGGTGAAGCAGGGATTTTACCTAAAAATGAGTCCCTTTGTTCGCGTAGTGATATTTAAAAATCGAGACGCAAACCCTATGTTAAATATAGTGTCAAGATGAAGGTTATGTATTGCGGAACGCAGAAATATAGTCATTGTATGGGCAAATCCGTTCGGAAATGGCGATATGTACTTTTGTAATTTTTTCAATACTTTTCAATGATTTACAGGAGTGACACCACAAAGTATATAGCAAAAATGGCAGCCATGTTTCAAAATGGCCACCTCCTACCAAAAGTGTCATTAGACAGTGTGCCATGCTAATAGTATTCACATACCAAATATGAACAAAATCGCTCCACTACTTTTCGAGTTATAGTAAAATACGTTAAATGGCAGCCATTTTTCAAAATGGCCGCCTTCTACCAAAAGTGTCATTAAAGAATGTGCCATGCTTATAGTATTCACATACCAAATATGAGCAAAATCGCTCCACTACTTTTCGAGTTATAGTAAGATATGTTAAAATGGCAGCCATCTTTCAAAATGGTGGCCATTTTTCAAAATGGCCGCCTTCTACAAAAAGTGTCGTTAGACAGTGTGCCATGTTTATAGTATTCACATACCAAATATATTTTTATTACATTTAAAACATATTGCTATTACAGTTTTACACATTGAACCTAAATTACTGTAAAATCGATGAGTTGTCTAGGGGATGAGATGTCCAGGGGATGAGATGTCTAGGGGATGAGATGTCCAGGGGATGAGTTGTCCAGGGGATGAGATGTCCAGTGGATGAGTTGTCTAGGGGATGAGTTGTCCAGGGATGAGTTGGCAATTTCTGTGGATGTAACGTTAATTCGTCGTTTTATCTACATTACATCAGTACAATTTATAAATGTTGTTTGTAGTATTAGGATATAGTATCAAATAAAAAGTGAAAGTAAAATATAAGTTGCTGTTGTATCAGTTACCTTACATCAAACAGTATATACGTATTTTGCTGTGTTTACAGCAAATATATGGCCGAAAACTAACATAAAAACTGTTTCCAAAGGAACATTACCCATCAAACCCTACAGCAGACGCAACTCAACGGCATTTCTACGGGGGCCGCAGAAATGAACATATTATGACTCCGAGGTATAATTTCTAAGGCTACCCTGCGGCCTGGAAAAAAACTGGATACGCCGTACGGAGACCGCAGAAATTTACTGATTTAATTGATCTGCGGTCGACGCACGGCCTCCGTACGACAAATGTGACTGGGGTGTTAGTTAAAATAAATACAGATAGTCGTACCTTTTATCTTCAGAATAGAAAAACTGGATGCGCCGTACGGAGACCGCATCGCGAGCGTAGTTTTTCTACGCTCGCCTCAGAAATTCACTGATTAATTGATCTGCAGTCGACGCACGGCCTCCGTACGACAAATGTGACTGGGGTGTTAGTTAAAATAAATACAGATAGTCGTACCTTTTATCTTCAGAATTGAAAACACCAGTATGAATAAAACCCACGCCGTCGGCGGAAACGTTCCCTGAAACAAAAATGGATGTTCATATACCAAGTTAAGGATTTTATTTGTCTACCTAAAATGCGTTGGCAACAAATAGCCCTTAATAATTTAAATACCTTAAACTTAAGAGAAGGGAAGAAAAGTTCACATACGATTAGCATGTACACCGTTAGTATTTCTGGGTTGATTTTCAATTTTTCCTCTTTGAACAGCCATTATATTTCTCTTATCGATTCACGGACGGATGATGTAGCATTAGATAGTCTTAGCAGAAGGTTTTCCATTATAGGTTTAGTATAAATGGTATTTCACAATCCAAGTGTATAATCTCCGAATGGTCAAATGTTATCATTTTTCTTAGAAACTTACTATTGGATAATATTATGAAAATAATATTTCCGACATTTAATTTTCCGAACCTGTCAAAAATAATTGAATAGGCAAATTAAATGATTATGCAAAATAACCACTTATACAGCATATCTATTTATCTAGTAATGTCGTATTAAATGACGTGTCAAGGACCTTTGGAATTCGATGTCTAAATAAAATTGCTGTATGTATGATGGAGTAAGTAAATTGTCATAAAAAGGGATAAAGGCAAAAGAAAAATAATTAACGATTTGCAATATGTACACTTTAAATCAAATTGAATACTTATAGGATATCCTATGATTTTGAGGAATATATCATTTTTATCTACGAGGTGATATTGATATCTGCACGAGAGAGCGAAGCGAACGAGTGCATTTATCAATATCACAGAGTAGATTAAAATGATATTCTGAAAAAATCATAGGATGTTCTTATTATCCTACACTTACAAGGAAAGTACTAAATGTATAATATCATTGCAAAATGAATTCCATGCCAAATAGAGTCAATTTGGCGGGAAATCAATAAGCGGAGTATATCGTCACGATATCCTCCGCCCGGAGTATATCGTTACGATATCCTCCGGATATTCATTTTGCCAATAAATATCAAATTTATTTTCTAATGTTATTATACATTTAGTATTCTAAGTGTAGGATAAAATAAAATACGATACTTTCCAATGGTTTATATCCAATTGATTTTTAAATGAAGAACTCCTATTTTAGAAACATATTCTCTCCAGTTTCTCAATTATTACGAAACCGAAATGATTATCTTGGGATAAAACATATATTGCCGAGGAGAAAGACATGCCTACGATATATTATATTCTTCGTAATTGCTTATTAAAAGTAAATATTAACTTATTTTATTTTTTTACATAAATCAACCCTCAACATTGGTAAACCGTCTGTCCACTTAACTCAAAATAGTGCTACAGAACAAAAATGTGCCCAAGATTAAGAGAAAAATGTGCTAAATTCAAATCTGTCTTTTTGTCTTTATCTGCAAGTAAAAATTGTCGAGATACGACAATGGCTAATTTTAGGTCTCTTTGTGCTTTTTAAGAAAAAACAAAACAAATCAAAATATTGAAAAGGTCTGTGATAAGACCCCTTTTTCTGTGCCGTGTTCAATTGAAAATGATGAATAAGATCAGTAGATCGGCATGCGACATAACCATAACCGGAGTGACGTAAATGTTATAAATTATTTCATCTAAATTAATTAATATCAAAACTAGTTATCATGTTTTACGTAACATACCTTATGCATCCTAAGCACGGGCAAATTGCTCCCTAGATCCGTTCAAGTTTGACAGGCTTTGGCTATCATGCGAACCATAAATATATATAATATGTGATTGGGAATAGAGTACACTGTATCCTTGATCGTCAAGAATTATAAGTCAATATTTGATTCAAATATAATCCGATAATTCTTTACAACCATACAGTTTAATAATTATCCTCTTTAAGGGTTTTATATAGATACAATAAATACGATATGATATAAATGCTAAAAGTACTTTTGTATTGACAAAGCTATTTAATCGCCGAGGATACAAGTAAACTCTCCTACCAAATCTAATCTAGATAATCCTTGACGGTCAATCTGGATTAAGTAGAACACAATTGATGTCAAAGCGATTAGTATATAATCCTTAAATGACCCTTCGAGTCCAATATTTTCTTATTTAACTACAATGTGTGGTCAAGGACTAAAGATCAATGATATAATGCTGTAAATTCTATTGATGAATAGGGGTTGGTTTATTACAGCATTATATTTCTCCGTATACGAGATTACACCACGGGCAAAATATGTGCATCATGAGCCATAAAATGTTCACCAAGTGTACCTAGATATTCAACCGAGTTTTTTAACATTGTACATACAGTACATACACTCCCCTCCATAAGTTTGGCAACCTTTTTTCCCCCATTGAACTACGTGTTAAAGCCTCTTTACCTTTGAATGTTTATTTACCTAACCTGCGATGAAAATACTTATACTATTGATGGAAACGTAATTTGACTTTAATTCCAATACCTCCAAATTTTCTCAATTTTTTCCTCAATTACAATAGGTCGAAAATTGATGATAAATTTGATGAGTTTTTGAAAATCGACATTCCCATGTTAATCAATGGGAAATGGTAGGTTTGCCGCAAGTCATATGACAGAATATCCATTCTTCCGAGTCCTTGCAAAAAATACGAGTTAGACAGGCAATTGAATTTGCTAACTTTATTTAACAAAAAATTGATATGTTTCTTCAGGTTCAACAAAGTTATAGGGCTTTAAAGTCAAAATTGATTTTCAAAAAACCTCTCCCATTGAAATAACACAGGAGGCGAAAAATTATTTTCAAAAATGACTTTTTTTTGAAGCGCTGTAACCTTAATATTCATCAAATAAACTAAACACTCGGTGTTCAAAAAAGTTAGACAATTCAATTTTCTATGTAAAAATATTTTTTGCTGAATCTTTTACTGAAAAGATATCCTGATTTCTGATTTGCCCCGAACCCTTCATTTCCCATTGGATTACATGGGAATGACGATTTTCAAAAATTCATCAAATTTATCATCGATTTTCGACCTATTGTAATTGAGGAAAAAAATTGACAAAATTTGGAGGTATTGGAGATAAAGTCAAGTTACGTTTCCATCAATATTATAAGTTATTTCATCGCCGGTTAAGTAAATAAAAATTCAAACGTAAAGAGGCTTTAACACGTAGTTCAATGGGGGAAAAAGGTTGCCAAACTTATGGAGGGGAGTGTAAGAGTCGGGCGCAGTTTCAATAATATTTTATCAAAGCAAAGTTGTTTTTGTTATTAGAAATCTTTGTCGTGCTTCAAGCCTTTCTAATCCCTCCCACTCCTATGTTTGCTAGCAGAGAAGCAGATAGATAGGAGATGACATCATAAAAAATGCACCGCGATAAATTACCATGGAAAAATATCCACAATTTTTCAAAATGGCCGCTAACAAGCCACAACAATGCGTATCGCTTCTGAGTTTTCAGATATATAGATTCTATACCCTACTTTTGAACCCCTTACAAAATAAGTTTTAAGGAAGCAAATGGCTTGTGGTCGCTTCATTCGTATGTTACAATAGATGGAAAGTATGAAATGCATAAAACAGAGCTACATATTTATTAAGAAATGTGAAATGAGAACGTGTTGTGCAGATGGATAACGCTGCTTCAGATTTATATTTACATTTTGAGAATCTATTTCCTGTCATGACTGTAAAAAAAACATGGCCTCCAAACAATATTTCTTGCTTCCAATTTTCAAAATGATATATATTCATGGATCAATTATCGTTGGCACATAAACCAATCCTAATAGAAAGGTAAGACTATTTTCTTGAAAATTATTCCTTGAAATCCCAAATTTCAGCCTCTAAAGTCTTTGAAAATCAGTTTAAGTTACTCACGAAACATAGTTTATGAAGAGTGAAAAAATACCGATTGATTCTTTGATCCTTCACACCATTAAAACCGAACAATTAGGAAAGGTATGGAATTAACGCTCCACCTATCGGCACTTCTTAACAGTAATTCTGTGAAGTGTTTAGCTAGCGACCAACGCTAAGAATGAACCTCGAAAGCTTACTTGAAAGCCAACAAATGCATGAAACAGCATACCAACATAACAGAAAATATTTGTTTCAATTTGTTATTCGATCAGCTGAACATAATTATAAATTATAAGAATTGTGAAAACCACTGGTCGTGTATGATATACAGGGTGGTCCAAAAAAGTGAACCCCTGCAACAGGCTACAATTTTCTTAATGCATGCATGAATTGGCTCATATTATCACATGTAGTAGAGAAAGGTCTAACATTTTGGTTGATGCGATAATTTATTCTCAGTCTTAAATTTTGAAAAAATTACAAGCGTTTAACAAACATGCCTGGAAATTAGATATTGTACAAAATTTCACAAATGTGATTCATGGAAATTGTTGAAACACATTGGATGATCTTAAACAGCTTTCGGTTAGAGATACAAGTTTAAAACCCTACCATATGACAAAAAGGACACTATTCAAGCAGAAAACACATTTCACACTTTCATTGATCATTTTGAAGCATTTTTAACTGTTCAACAGTTCAGGGGTATGTTACCTACACCAACAGTTAGAGAGGGGCCTCTTGTGGAAGGAAGTTGCCCCCTGTGACCAGGAATCTGATAACACCTTCATCAAATATCTTTAAAATATCAAAAGAAAATCCAATATTCAATGTTTTGAGCCATATATCATAAGAGTTGGTCCATGATTTATGAAGATATTGACATTTAAAGATCATATAGGGGTATATTCATGATTTCGCTGGAAAATGTTTTCGTCTGTGGAAGCTTAGCACATCTCTTTGGATCACAATAACTTTGCAACTAACAAATGTAGGATGCTAGTTTTAAGCCATAATGTGCAAGATTTAAAATTGAACAAAGTCAGAAAATATTAGTTCTTTAAGACTGCAGCTTAAAAAATTTTCAGGGGAAAGGTGTTAAAGGGTTGAAGAATCGTGGATATTGAAAATCACAATTTGTCCATTTTCAGTAATGTTTGGTTAAGGCTTATAATTTCTGCAAATTTCAAGACTAAGAAAAATGTATGGTATCAACATAAATTTTAGACCTTCCTCTACAACATGTGAAAATAAAAAATAATTCCTGCAAGTAATAAGGGAAATATGGCAAGTTGCAGGGGTTCACTTTTTTTGGACCACCCTGTAGGTTCACTAAAGGGAACAACCATCATGGTCTAATCATAATGCTATATCACATATCCCTGCTGGCTCATCATTTTCTTGTTTTTTATTATCTATATTTTTCTGTCGATACCAAAAAGATGAGGGCCAAATCTACCAAGTTAATAGTCAATAGTCATAGTCAATAAACCTTGGTCAATAGTCATAGTCAATAAACCTTGGTCAATAGTCATAGAAAATAAACTCTGGTCAATAGTCAGAGTCAATAATCCTTGGTCAATAGTCATAGTCAATAAACCATGGTCAATAGTGATAGTCGATAAACCTTGGTCAATATTCATAGTCAATAATCCTTGGTCAATAGTCATAGTCAATAAACCTTGGTCAATAGTCATAGTCAATGATCCTTTGTCAATTGTCATAGTAAATAATCCTTGGTCAATAGTCATAGCCAATTATCCTTGGTCAATAGTCATAGTCAAATAACCTTTGTCAGTAGTCATAGTCAATAATCCTTGGCCAATATTCATAGTCAATAATCCTTTGTCAATAGTCCTAGTCAATAGTCATAGTCAATAATCCTTGGTCAATAGTCATAGTCAATAAACCTTGGTCAATATTCGTAGTCAATAATCCTTTGTCAATAGTCATAGTCAATAATCCTCGGTCAATAGTCATATCAATAAACCTTGGTCAATAATCATAATCAATTAGCCTTGGTCAATAGCCATAGCCAATAATCCTTGGCCAATAGCCATAGTAAATAATCCTTGGTCAATACTCATAGTCAATAAATATTTGCCTATAGTCATAGTCAATAAATATTTGTCTATAGTCATAGTCAATAAACCTTGATCAATAGTCATAGTCAATAATCCTTGGTCAATAGTCATAGTCTGTAAACCTTTGTCACTAGTCAATATTCCTTGGTCAATAGTCATAGTCAATAAACCTTGGTCAATATTCATAGTCAATAATCCTTTGTCAATAGTCATAGTCAATAATTCTTTGCCAATAGTCATAGTCAATAGACCGTGGTCAATAGTCATAGTCAATTATCCTTGGTCAATAGTCATAGTCAAATAACCTTTGTCAGTAGTCATAGTCAATAATCCTTGGCCAATATTCATAGTCAATAATCCTTTGTCAATAGTCCTAGTCAATAATCCTTGGTCAATAGTCATAGTCAATAATCCTTGGTCAATAGTCATAGTCAATAAACCTTGGTCAATATTCGTAGTCAATAATCCTTTGTCAATAGTCATAGTCAATAATCCTCGGTCAATAGTCACATCAATAAACCTTGGTCAATAATCATAGTCAATTAGCCTTGGTCAATAGCCATAGCCAATAATCTTTGGCCAATAGCCATAGTAAATAATCCTTGGTCAATAGTCATAGTCAATAAATATTTGCCTATAGTCAAAGTCAATAAATATTTGTCTATAGTCATAGTCAATAAACCTTGATCAATAGTCATAGTCAATAATCCTTGGTCAATAGTCATAGTCTGTAAACCTTTGTCACTAGTCAATAATCCTTGGTCAATAGTCATAGTCAATAAACCTTGGTCAATATTCATAGTCAATAATCCTTTGTCAATAGTCATAGTCAATAATTCTTTGCCAATAGTCATAGTCAATAGACCGTGGTCAATAGTCATAGTCAATTAGCCTTTGTCAATAGCCATAGCCAATAAACCTTGGCCAATAGTCATAGTCAATAATCCTTGGTCAATAGTCATAGTCAATAAACATTTGTCTATAGTCATAATCAATAAGCCTTGGTCAATAGTCATAGCCAATAATTTATAGTCATTAGTCATAGTCAATAAACCTTGGTCTATAGTCATAGTCAATAATCCTTGGTCAATAGTCATAGTCAATAAACCTTGGTCAATATTCATAGTCAATAATCCTTGGTCAATAGTCATAGTCAATAAACCTTGGTCAATAGTCATAGTCAATAAACCTTTGTCAATAGTCATAGTCAATAATCCTTTGTCAATAGTCATAGTCAATACTTCTTGGTCAATAGTCATAGTCAATAATCCTTGGTCAATATATCAATGGTCATTGTCAATAGCAGATATGATATCTTCCATATTGAAACATGATTTAAATTTCAACACTTGAGCATTCCCCTTTTGTCAAGCCTTAGAGATTTAAAACGTCGTCATCTTGTTAGGTTTGGAATTCCAATTTTTTTTTAATTTTGGACAATATAACCCTATCGGTATTTATAATGGACCCTCTTACCCTGCACTTGAAGGACATTTCAAGTAGTTAGAGGGCAAAATAAGAGATTTCAAGCTAAATGTCTCAATAAATGTCCCACCCCTCCATTAAAATGCATTACGGAGCCTAAAGTAGCTGAAACAGTTCGGTCTCAATCCCGAAACTGCCACGTACGAGCTGCCCACTCAATCAATTAATACAACAGATACAACAAAACAACCCATACAAACAACAAACAAACAATCAAGACCGAACAAGCAAACAAGTGGAAGCGTGGAAACAAGTGGAAGCTTTACCGGTCATAGCATGTAGTGTATCGGATTTGAGCCGAATATTAAAGATTGGTTGCTGGACTATATGTAAGGTGCTGCCACCTTTAAATAGACACAAAAGTTGGAAATACTTATTGAACAAGAATGATTTGGAACATGAAATGAATCTAGAAAAAGTTAAGGGGCCATCAAAAAATGTTAATTACAGGCTTCTTCACTGTTATTCCATCTAAACCTCCAATCAATGATTACAATCAATCAACATGACGAATCAAGTAAAGTTTTAAAGTTTAATTGTAAATAAATAACAAAAGTCTGGTATTTTACAAGATTTTCATCAAATATAGCTCAATCAAACCGAATTACACCACTCTCTTTCAAAGCAAAATCTGACTTTAGAACTTACCTCACAAAAAGATTACAAAGTACTCAATAGATGGCGACTACGTATATTTCAGCCCTTAAGATCAAAAGGAAATCGAGCTTTTGGTAAGGTTAAAGGGATTGTCAAAAGGTGGCGCTGAGTAAAATCTCACCTGCGGCCTGACTAGAGTGAGTATATCAAAGATCAGACCAGATTTACTCAAACAAACAATTCAATTTCTTGTTTAAAATGACAAGAAACATATTCTCAAAATAAAAATTGAAATAAACATCGAATTTATTCAAACGCATTTACACTACCTTGTTTACACGTTCCAACCAGTCACGTGTGCACCACAAGAGTTCTGCCCGGCATTGTTGTCTTTCAAAAGAATTATGTGAGTGGAACGTAAATGCGCTTGGATGAGCTATTTTTGTTAAAAACACGTGACCAATGTAATTTGCGATGCGAGGAGTGTTGTTCTTTTTGTGGTACACGGCGTGAGACTCGTTTCAATAGTATGCAAATTAGTTGCGCCGCGGGCAGTTCAAAAACGCAGTCAAAGAGAATTTGGAACAAAGGTATAAACATGCACGTCCATTCATTGGATTGTAACCAATGCCTTGGTCACATTTGCTCCGATCCATCGGCCGGCGCCCGCCCGATTGAGTGTTTTGCTCAATTTTGTATTCGATTTGGAACAAAATAATCAATCGGCCGGGCGCCGTAGTGAAAATCGGGGCAAATGTGACCAAGGCACTAGGCTTGTATGTCTATAGTATTATGTCTAATGAGACTCCCAGCTGGCTCCCGTACAAATGCTTTACTTAGTATGTATAAAAAACAGTAATATGTTTTTAACATTTTTGAATGCACAAAACATTTATTTCTTCATATACTAATGAGTACAATATGTTTATAGCTCTTTCAATGAGAAAAACACAAATTATTTACAATTATATACAATTTCAACATTAAATGATAAGAACTTTGGTTGCTATTATGGTATTGACGATATTGTAATATATTATATTCATGCTTAGTTGTGATTTATAATTCATGTTTTCAATGTTTATTATTGTTACAAGCTCAAGGTCACAATGTTCTAAAAATATCCTGTTTTGTCAACAGGACTTATGAGTTATACACTTATGACTGGGATGAGCTAAATAAAAAAAATGTACCAAACAGACACCTTATTTTTCTTTTTCTTTTTTTTTCAATTTCTCTCGTTAATTTTTTGACCACTTTTTAACCGAAACTAAATTTGTGATAGTTCGCATTTACAAGAAGGGTCACTCATACGTCAAGAGGCATGTATACATAGTTAATTTTAAAAGAAGTTCCCTTGCATGATTGTCGTATTCGTCGGCAGTCCAGAACGTAGGGGGGGGGGGGGTCAAATTTGCTCCGATTCATAGGCCGGTGCCCGCCCGATCGAGCATTTTGTTCAACATTGTATTCAGTTTTGATCAAAACACCCAATCGACCGGGCGCCGGCCGATGAGCAAATGTGACCCGACCACTGTAGGAAATCTGTCTTTTGTAACACGTTGCGAGATCTCGTTCACGTTACCAGTGACGTCCAATATTTGTCACATGTTATACTAATACGAGATCGATGGCAGCAAACAGCAAAATCACGATGCCCAGAGAAACGGTTGTACAACTGGCCCCTGAAAAGATACATAATTTGCATTACTCCAAATTCAAATATCGCAAACGCAATATATAATTTGAACTGCATGTCCTTATAAGTCTCATGCGTAGATCTCATAACAAGTCGTAATTGAAATATAATATCAAGACATTGAGGAATTCTCGTAATTGCCTCCCTGACTGGACGGTAATTGTCGGTTTGGATATTTCTAGTTTTCATCGAATTAAACTACTTTATAGTTAATATTATGATTTGATGATTAAACCAAATCAGGCCTTTTATGACATGGGAACAATGGAGTATGACAATTTGTTCACATATCATGCGTGGGTGCCAAAGTTCAACGATATCTTCCACCGCTTAATGGAAGATAATTGGAAATGTAAGATACACTGTAGGGTAACGGTAATGTTAGTTTTAAATAGTATACGCGGTATCTGGACATCTTAGCTCTCCATTATAAACTCTCATAACGTTACCGCATCACTGGCATATCAGTAATCATCTGTAAAACCAAAATCCCAGTTACCTTCCCTTAAGCGGTGGAAGATATCGTTGAACTATGTCGCCCACGCATGAAATATGAAAAACTGATTATACTCAAAAGTTGCCATGTCATATAAGTCGGATTTAGTTATAATATCAAAGCATTACGTCAAGTATAGTGTAGTTTAATCCGATGAAAACTAAAAATATCAAAATCGACACTTGCATGAACTCGTTGCAACCTACGGTTCAAATGTTGGGCTTATTATAAAACTTACTTTCCTGAATTCGTTGCAACCTCTGATTCAAATGTTGGGCTTATTATAAAACTCACTTGCATGAACTCGTTGCAACCTCTGATTCAAATGTTGGGCTTATTATAAAACTCACTTGCATGAACTCGTTGCAACCTCTGATTCAAATGTTGGGCTTATTGTAAAACTCACTTGCATGAACTCGTTGCAACCTCCGATTCAAATGTTGGGCTTATTATAAAACTCACTTGCATGAACTCGTTGCAACCTCCGATTCAAATGTTGGGCTTATTATAAAACTCACTTGCATGAACTCGTTGCAACCTCTGATTCAAATGTTGGGCTTATTATAAAACTCACTTGCATGAACTCGTTGCAACCTCCGATTCAAATGTTGGGCTTATTATAAAACTCACTTGCATGAACTCGTTACAAACTCTGATTCAAATGTTGGGCTTATTATAAAACTCACTTGCATGAACTCGTTGCAACCTGTGATTCAAATGTTGGGCTTATTATAAAACTCACTTGCATGAACTCGTTGCAACCTCTGATTCAAATGTTGGGCTTATTATAAAACTCACTTGCATGAGCTCGTTGCAACCTCTGATTCAAATGTTGGGCTTATTATAAAACTCACTTGCATGAACTCGTTGCAAACTCCGATTCAAATGTTGGGCTTATTATAAAACTCACTTGCATGAACTCGTTGCAACCTCTGATTCAAATGTTGGGCTTATTATAAAACTCACTTGCATGAACTCGTTACAAACTCTGATTCAAATGTTGGGCTTATTATAAAACTCACTTGCATGAACTCGTTGCAACCTCCGATTCAAATGTTGGGCTTATTATAAAACTCACTTGCATGAACTCGTTGCAAACTCCGATTCAAATGTTGGGCTTATTATAAAACTCACTTGCATGAACTCGTTGCAACCTCTGATTCAAATGTTGGGCTTATTATAAAACTCACTTGCATGAACTCGTTACAAACTCTGATTCAAATGTTGGGCTTATTATAAAACTTACTTTCCTGAATTCGTTGCAACCTCCGATTCAAATGTTGGGCTTATTATAAAACTCACTTGCATGAACTCGTTACAAACTCTGATTCAAATGTTGGGCTTATTATAAAACTCACTTGCATGAACTCGTTACAAACTCTGATTCAAATGTTGGGCTTATTATAAAACTCACTTGCATGAACTCGTTGCAACCTCTGATTCAAATGTTGGGCTTATTATAAAACTCACTTGCATGAACTCGTTACAACCTCCGATTCAAATGTTGGGCTTATTATAAAACTCACTTGCATGAACTCGTTGCAACCTCTGATTCAAATGTTGGGCTAATTATAAAACTCACTTGCATGAACTCGTTGCAACCTCTGAATCAAATGTTGGGCTTATTATAAAACTCACTTGCATGAACTCGTTACAAACTCTGATTCAAATGTTGGGCTTATTATAAAACTCACTTGCATGAACTCGTTGCAACCTCTGATTCAAATGTTGGGCTTATTATAAAACTCACTTGCATGAACTCGTTGCAACCTCCGATTCAAATGTTGGGCTTATTATAAAACTCACTTGCATGAACTCGTTACAAACTCTGATTCAAATGTTGGGCTTATTATAAAACTCACTTGCATGAACTCGTTGCAACCTCTGATTCAAATGTTGGGCTTATTATAAAACTCACTTGCATGAACTCGTTGCAACCTCTGATTCAAATGTTGGGCTTATTATAAAACTCACTTGCATGAACTCGTTGCAACCTCTGATTCAAATGTTGGGCTTATTATAAAACTCACTTGCATGAACTCGTTACAACCTCCGATTCAAATGTTGGGCTTATTATAAAACTCACTTGCATGAACTCGTTGCAACCTCTGAATCAAATGTTGGGCTTATTATAAAACTCACTTTCATGAACTCGTTGCAACCTCTGATTCAAATGTTGGGCTTATTATAAAACTCACTTGCATGAACTCGTTACAAACTCTGATTCAAATGTTGGGCTTATTATAAAACTCACTTGCATGAACTCGTTACAAACTCTGATTCAAATGTTGGGCTTATTATAAAACTCACTTGCATGAACTCGTTACAAACTCTGATTCAAATGTTGGGCTTATTATAAAACTCACTTGCATGAACTCGTTGCAACCTCTGAATCAAATGTTGGGCTTATTATAAAACTCACTTGCATGAACTCGTTGCAACCTCTGATTCAAATGTTGGGCTTATTATAAAACTCACTTGCATGAACTCGTTGCAACCTCTGATTCAAATGTTGGGCTTATTATAAAACTCACTTGCATGAACTCGTTGCAACCTCTGATTCAAATGTTGGGCTTATTATAAAACTCACTTGCATGAACTCGTTGCAACCTCTGATTCAAATGTTGGGCTTATTATAAAACTCACTTGCATGAACTCGTTGCAACCTCTGATTCAAATGTTGGGCTTATTATAAAACTCACTTGCATGAACTCGTTGCAACCTCTGATTCAAATGTTGGGCTTATTATAAAACTCACTTGCATGAACTCGTTGCAACCTCTGATTCAAATGTTGGGCTTATTATAAAACTCACTTGCATGAACTCGTTGCAACCTCCGATTCAAATGTTGGGCTTATTATAAAACTCACTTGCATGAACTCGTTGCAACCTCCGATTCAAATGTTGGGCTTATCATAAAACTCACTTGCATGAACTCGTTGCAACCTCCGATTCAAATGTTGGGCTTATTATAAAACTCACTTGCATGAACTCGTTGCAACCTCCGATTCAAATGTTGGGCTTATTACAAAACTCACTTGCATGAACTCGTTGCAACCTCCGATTCAAATGTTGGGCTTATTATAAAACTCACTTGCATGAACTCGTTGCAACCTCCGATTCAAATGTTGGGCTTATTATAAAACTCACTTGCATGAACTCGTTGCAACCTCTGATTCAAATGTTGGGCTTATTATAAAACTCACTTGCATGAACTCGTTGCAACCTCTGATTCAAATGTTGGGCTTATTATAAAACTCACTTGCATGAACTCGTTGCAACCTCTGAATCAAATGTTGGGCTTATTATAAAACTCACTTGCATGAACTCGTTACAACCTCTGATTCAAATGTTGGGCTTATTATAAAACTCACTTGCATGAACTCGTTGCAACCTGTGATTCAAATGTTGGGCTTATTATAAAACTCACTTGCATGAACTCGTTGCAACCTCTGATTCAAATGTTGGGCTTATTATAAAACTCACTTGCATGAACTCGTTGCAACCTCTGATTCAAATGTTGGGCTTATTATAAAACTCACTTGCATGAACTCGTTGCAACCTCTGAATCAAATGTTGGGCTTATTATAAAACTCACTTGCATGAACTCGTTACAAACTCTGATTCAAATGTTGGGCTTGTTATAAAACTCACTTGCATGAACTCGTTGCAACCTGTGATTCAAATGTTGGGCTTATTATAAAACTCACTTGCATGAACTCGTTGCAACCTCTGATTCAAATGTTGGGCTTATTATAAAACTCACTTGCATGAACTCGTTGCAACCTCTGATTCAAATGTTGGGCTTATTATAAAACTCACTTGCATGAACTCGTTGCAACCTCCGATTCAAATGTTGGGCTTATTATAAAACTCACTTGCATGAACTCGTTACAAACTCTGATTCAAATGTTGGGCTTATTTTAAAACTCACTTGCATGAACTCGTTACAAACTCTGATTCAAATGTTGGGCTTATTATAAAACTCACTTGCATGAACTCGTTACAAACTCTGATTCAAATGTTGGGCTTATTATAAAACTCATTTGCATGAACTCGTTACAAACTCTGATTCAAATGTTGGGCTTATTATAAAACTCACTTGCATGAACTCGTTACAAACTCTGATTCAAATGTTGGGCTTATTATAAAACTCACTTGCATGAACTCGTTACAAACTCTGATTCAAATGTTGGGCTTATTATAAAACTCACTTGCATGAACTCGTTACAAACTCTGATTCAAATGTTGGGCTTATTATAAAACTCACTTGCATGAACTCGTTGCAACCTCTGATTCAAATGTTTGGCTTATTATAAAACTCACTTGCATGAACTCGTTGCAACCTCTGATTCAAATGTTGGGCTTATTATAAAACTCACTTGCATGAACTCGTTGCAACCTCTGATTCAAATGTTGGGCTTATTATAAAACTCACTTGCATGAACTCGTTACAAACTCTGATTCAAATGTTGGGCTTGTTATAAAAC